TGATGCCCTGCTGCGCCGCAAAATTCGCATTTTGTCGGTTGCTGCTTCGCGTCGTATTTGTCGATATCCATCGGTTCGGCGAACGTGGGGGGTGCCGATCGCTCCGTGCCGAATGTACGGTTCGGCGTGAAGCGTCGTGTTTCGGGTTGACCTCGAGTCAGCGCGTCGTATCGCTCGGCAGCACGCACGATGTCCCTGTAGCTGTTGTAATTCGCCGCAATCACCTGCCGCCGAATCTCCATTTTTAACCCTTCGGTGTACGCCTGGATTTTTTTGCCTTCGGTCAGGTCGGTGATGCGGTTGAACAGTAACTCCATCTGCTGCGTGTACTGTGCTACACTACTGTATTGCTTGTGTCGGTGTATCTGCTGCCGCGCCATGTAGGTCGTATTAATTGGTTCGAAACGCTCGATTAAATCTGCCCGAAACTGCTGCCACGTTTTCTCCCCGCGGGCTATGTCGGTGTAGTAAATCCATTCGAGAGCCGGTTCACGTAACAGTGTCGCTGCGAGCCGAATCCTTGCTGCGTCGTGTTGCGGGGTCGAACAGCCAATGGCCTCGAAGTAAATTTCGAGGGTGGCCACAAATCGCCGGACGTCGGATCCCTTCGCGCTTGGATCGAACGCCTCAGGGAGCCTCGGTCGTGCTGCTTCGAGGTTCGGCGACAGTGGTGCCATCGGTCCGTGAAATGTCGGTGTCGCCACTGCTGCTGGAGTTGTCGGTGCTGCAGTCGCTGCGGTCGCTGCTGCTGCGGTGGCGAACCCTGGTTGGCTTGTCAGAAAAGCCTCGAGTCGACGAAGCGTCGCCTGCGTCTGCTCCATGTCGGTGCGGAGGCTCGCGATGTCGCTCGTGGTCGCATAGTTGTCGCCTTGGCCTTCCATGCCTGACATCAACGCGTCCGAAAAAACGAATCGAGGGGGAGCGAAAAACACGGAACCGGTTTTACGTACCCGAGATCGATGTTTAACTGCGTCGCCCCCGCGGTTTTTTGAAGACTGGTTTGTAGCGGTCGAAAGAACTTTGCGTGTAAACGGGCTCTGATTACCAAGTGTGAGGATCTAGGATCGAGCTCAGAAAAGAGAATGTGAATTGAATGATCACCTGGGTACAATACGAGGCTATATATAGGCTCGACACAAGGCCCCGTAACCAGGTGTTACGCGAAGGTTCCGCGGGTCGCGAAGCGTCCCGAACAGATCCTTCCCGAATTCGGTAGAAGGCAATTCGGTGGCAACCGAAAAGCCAGAATTCGGTGCACGCAACCTAGCTCGGTGCTATAACTATAATAAAATATAGGAAAGCACCTAGCCTAGGAAATCAAACAATTCATGCATGCATATAATTTTCCTATGCTAGAAATAGCATAATAAAGTAAAGGCAAGCAAGCATAGCTGGCATAAGCCGTCGTACTCTCACAGGCGCCCTGGGAGGCCGCGCGTCGGCCCCCGTACTCCTCCCCCCCCCCCCCCCCCCCCCTCAGGTCGCCTCAACAGGCGACGGGAGGGGCGACCTGGGGGGGGCCGTGCGTCGGAGCAGCCGCCCCTGGTGCAGCCGCCTCTGGCCCCTGGAGCAGCCGCCCCTGGCCCCTGGAGCAGCCGCCCCTGGACCCCGCGACGCCGCCCCTGGACCCGGTGCCGCCGCCTCCCTGTGCTGCCCATTGCCGCCCGTTGCTGCCCATTGCTGCTCTCCCCCCCCCCCCTTCTTCGTCTCCCTGCTGCGCGTGCAGCCGTGGAATGGAGGGTATGGGGGTGGCGGGTATGGGGGTGATGGGTGGTATGTTTCCCTTCCCCTCCTCCTCCTTTGTCTCCCACTGCTGCAGCTGCCGCTGAGGGGGGTGGATGTGTGGGAGCCAAAGGCGTGGTGCTAGGGGGTGGGGTGTGAGTGAACCTAGGGAACAGCAAGGGGTGTGTGAAAAGGGGGGTGGGATAGTTTTGGGGAGGTTGAAGGGGGTGGCTGCCGTGAAGCCTGCAGCTCCAGTCGCCCGTGAGACCGTTGCGCCAGTCGCCCGTGAGCCCGTTGCGCCAGTCGCCCGTGAGCCCGTTGCTCCAGTCGCCCGTGAGTCCGTTGCTCCTGCAGCTCAGAGTTAGTCGCGGAGCCAGTTACTCCAGTAGCCCGTGTGCCAGTTGCTCCAGTTGCCAGTGTGCCAGTTGCTCCAGTTGCCCGTGTGCCAGTTGCTCCAGTTGCGCCGTGTGCCAGCAGCTTCAGTTGCCGCCCACTACCTCCTCTCCTCTCATAGTCCCTCCTCCTCCACACGTGCCCTCTGCGATAGTCTCTAGCTTTGCTTACATTTGTGAACTTTAAACTATTGCTTCTTGTACTTGTGCTCAGAATGTGTGGTGACATTGTGATCCACCCTGAGCTTGCTTTGCTTTGCTTATTGTGCTGATCATACCCCACTTTGACTATGGGGGTGTGTCAGAATGTTATGTTTGTCTAGCCTGCAGTGGGGTACTCAATAGTGAGTACAGCCCAACTTAGGGTTTGCTATATGTACTCAACTGCTTGCTAGTGCAACCATCACTTCTCTCATTTCATTCCGACGCGGTGATGGTCGTCGTTGACAGGTTGACGAAGATGGCACACTTCGCTGCGTGCAAAAAGTCGATCTCAGCCGAGAAGAGCGCTCGTCTGTTCATCGCAGCCGTTGTTCGCCTGCACGGGATACCAGCAGCGATTATCAGCGACAGGGACACGAAGTTTACCAGCAACTTCAACTTCTGGAAAAATCTCTGGGAGCAGTTCGGGACCAGGCTACAGTTCAGTTCGTCGTACCACCCCGAGACCGACGGTCAAACGGAGCGGACGAATCAGACGATGGAGCAGTTGATTCGTGCCACGTGCGACGACCCCACGACTTGGGAGCAGCAGTTGCCGCTGATCGAGTTCGCGTACAACAATGCCACGTCAGCGACGACGCAGCAGTCCCCCTTCTACCTGAACTACGGGCAAAACCCTACAGTGCCCATGACGCCGAGTCCGGACAACCCAACACCACGTGCACAGCAATTCGCCGAAATTCTGCAAGCTGCCCGCACCAGAGCCGCAGAAGCAATTAAAAAGGCAAACGTCATCGCTAAGCGCAACGCTGACCGCCACCGCCGCCCAGTCACATACCAGTCAGGGGATTACGTACTACTCGACACGCAAAATCTGCGACTGCCCGACGTACCAAAACTCCGACCGCGCTACTGTGGCCCATTCCAAATCAGCCACATGATCACGCCAGTGACCGCGCACCTACTGTTACCGACCGACTGGTACATCAGCCCCTCGTTCCACGTCAGCTTGCTTCGCCCCTACATCCCAACCACAAGCCAACTGCCTCGCCACCGCCCGCCATCCATGACTCGCCCTGCATCAGAGCCGATCATCGCGCCCGAAAAAATCCTGAGCCATCGGATTCGACACCCCACGGGAATCAAGAGGATTGAATTCCTCGTTCGCTGGAAGGATCGCACTCCAACTGAGGACAGCTGGGTGCCCCTGGCCAACATCTAAAACCACCCTGCCCTGCAAGTGTACCTGAGGAGCCGGGGATTCCGCGATATACACGCACTCGCGTAGCGGAGGGGGCTTCTTGAGGGGGGGGGTAGTGTAAGGAATTTTCTCGGCATTCCTTACGGAGCCCGACTACATCGCGTACAGCAACAGTCGTTGTTCGCCCGTTACTGCTAACGGGGCTTCGCCGACTTCGCGCGCACTGTTTCACCAAACCTCGCACTGCTGGCCTGGCCATGTCAGCCTACGCTTCGGGACTAGTCCGAGCCTCGTTTCCAGCGTAGCACCAGCTAGCTCGCACGCGCCGCGTTACCGTTTGCATGCTTCGCGTATAAATGTTCGCTCATGCCTTCGCTCACATTTTGTAGTCGTTTGACACCTTAGTGCAATTCTCGCTACTTCGATTCATTGCACCCGTAACAATTCCCAATATTCAACATTGTAATCTGACCTTTCTATTGATGCCTTGTAGTCAGGAACGGGGTTGCTTCAATACGAGTTGGAGAACTTCATAGCCAAGCAGGAATGCTCTGCTGCACGGACCACCTCCATTCTTACGTGCGCTGAACCTCGGAAAAACAGAGTGCCCGCGACACTAACGGCGTCTCTCTCCGTTTTCGCATTCGTCGTCAACGGCCGACAGGAACATCGCGCCCGCATTTCTTTGGTCGCAATAGCGCCTTGCTGAAAGAGGGTAACAGGAGAAGCTGTGGTGCTCCTGTGCCATTCCAACCTTGCACTGCACGCGATGTGTGGTGGTGGAGAGCATTGGATGGCGCAGTGTTGGACCATGGAGGTGCCTTCATTTAGCCATGGCTGCCATAGTAACGCATTACTGTGGACAGGTCGATGTCCGTTAAAACCCGAAGCCTGAATTACAAACTTTCTGGGAGGTGTTAACACTTCCGGAGCCGAACCTCAGCTCTGCCTGCGAGCTGTTTGCTTCACGGGAGAGTCGCATTAGGTTTCGCAACATGCTACCTTTCGCAATTCCTCCGCACCTCATATTGCACGAACCTCAGACCTACCAAACCAAGCGTTGACTCAGTTTTTGTAATTCAGGCTTCGGGTTTTAAATTCAAGCGAACGGTTCGACTGTGTGAGAGCCGCGAGTGTGCTAGCAGTGTGGTGGACTCGAATTATGCGTGTCTGACTGGTTCGCGTGTCGCGGGCCCCACGGTCCGTCGCGTCCGACGCTATGGCATCACTGGCATCACGGGACGCGACATCCCACGGCCAGAACGCACGCAATGCTGCCAAGTAATTGCTCTATTTAGTAGCTCCCGCGATCACAGAATCTACAATCACCACTGGTGCATCAGCAATTCTCCGTCCAGCAGCACCAATACAGCGCCTTTACCCCCAACTACCGCAACTGACCTTCACGTCACGGCAGACGCCTCGCAGCTGCCAGCCGCGCAGCGTGCCGCCTCGCCAACCCCGCCGAGCTCGTTCCGCCTGTCATCCCCGCCGCACTCCGTTTGCGTCTGATCTCCGCCGCCATGGCGACTGCGGCCTTCCCCTCGCTCTCCTCCATTGTCGCTTCCGCGGCCTCCGCCCTTTGGTCCGCCAACCTCACAGTGAGTTTCCCAGCCCTCCCTTGTCGGCGCGCGATCGCCGCTTCCCCCATCTGCGCGCGCTTTCCGCCTCCAGTGCCCTCGCAAACTCGGAGGCTGTCCCTTGCCCGGCGGCTCGACTTTATCTCCTATTTCGTCTTCCCCGTTCCCCGTGCTTTCTCCGCTCCTCTCCCCTCATACTGCAAAACTCCCTCTCTTCCACCGACCCCAGTTGCCGTACCCAACGAACGCGTCGTGGCAGAACTTCGTGCTGGGGCAAGTCGGCAACCCCGAGCTCGTCACGCCGTACATCGTGCAGAGCGCGGAGGGGCGCGTCGCGTGGGGGCTGCCGGTGCGCGACCCGCAACCAGGGTACATCGTGCAGGCGTTCGTCACCGCGCTCATGCTCTCCACGCTGCAGGGCCTCCCCCCCCGCTAGCTCTCCACCTACGACGACCTCTCCGCCACCCTCTCCTTCCGCCAACCCTCCTCCGCGCCCTCCGATCCCCCCGCACTCGAGGTCCCCCTAGTGCGCGGGTCGCCCTTCCTGACGTTCATATTCCCCCCGGGCGGCCCACCTGCGACGCCCATGCTGACGACGATCCACGCCATCACCGGCGTTGAGGCCAGCAGCGACAGCACCAAGTACCGCGTCGTGCTCAACAACGGCCAGGTCAGTCAGTCCGCCACACCAACGGCTGCCTGCGCCCCATTCCTGTGTCTCATTCTCCCATCGTCCTTGCTATCTTTCCCACCCGCTTGCTCTCAAACTTCCTGTAATAGAACACCCCCCCCCACTCACTCACTGGATGTATCAACCACCATCTCTTCTCCCCCGTTTCTATCTCCCTTCCCCTCTCACCAGACATTGCTGGTGTACCTGTCGTCGCCACTGGCGCCGAGGTAGGATGGGTCAGCGCTGGTGGCGGATGCACCATTCATGGGGACGATGCGCGTGGCGCTGCTGACGGGCTCCTCCTCTGCGCTGCAGGACGAGGAGGCGCCGCTGGACGCACACGTGCCCACGGTGCCGCTGGGGGGGAGTGCGCAGGTGGGAGAGTTTCTCATCGAGTACACCTGGCGCACCCAGCAGTGGCGCGAGCTGGCTAATGGCGAAACTAATGCGCCGCCGCCGCTGCTCATGCTATCGCTGCCAAGTGAGTTGCTTGCTTGCGCCGGTGCTGCTGTGCTGCAATGTCACCTGCAATGCCGTCACAAGGATGCAATGCAATCCTTCATCGCCCTCATCGTCTGTACGTCAAACTAACCCCCCTGCTTCCTTGTTTCTTCCCTTCCCCCTTTTCCCTCCTTCTCCCCCATGAGCAGTGCATCGGCGAATGGAAGTGAGCGCACACAGCCCCTCCACTGCCTCCGCCCTCCGCCGTCGCCGCAACGGCTCCCCTTCCTACGCCATGAGCGCCCTCCGCGGCCACCACAACCCCGCCTCTGCTGGCCCCTCCAACATACGGGGCAGTGCACGGTGGTCGTCCGTGCAAATGCGTTCGTGCCCGATGCATCAGTGCTGGCGTACCCCACCATCGACGGCCAGGCGGTGGGCATGCAGGGGGGGGTGTGGCGCCTCAACGTGCCCAAGCGACCCTCCACGTGGGACGCAGGGCCCCTCTCGTCCGACGCACAGCTGCTGGACGAGCTGAGGGGCAGCCTCAAGCAGGACGTGGCCGCTCTGCCGCCCCTCTCCTCCCCTTCCACCTACTCCTTCAGCAAGGCAGCGGCACGCGTCGCCCGCCTGGCGCTGATCGCAAAGCAGGTGCAAGACGATGACAGCCTGGCCGCCGTGCTGCCGCCCCTGCGAACCGCACTCTCCACGTGGCTGGATGGCACCTTCCCCGGTAACCGCCTGCTGTACGATCCCACGTGGGGCGGTGTGGTGAGCGAGGCGGGGTCGCTTGACTAGGGGGTGGAGTTTGGAGCGGGCATGTACAACAACCACCACTTCCACTACGGCTACTTCATCTACGCCGCTGCCACCGTTGCCGAGTTTGACGCCGCATGGGGGACCTCATGGCTGACAACATGTCTTTGGAGCGCACGGCGGCATCCCCGAGGCTGAGGCACTTTGACGCGTACGCGCTGCACTCGTGGGCCAGCGGGCTGTTTGAGTTTGGCGACGGGCGCAACCAGGAGAGCTTCAGCGAGGAGGCCAGCGTGTACTACGCGGGGGCGCTGCTGGCGTCTGTGCTGGGCGAAAAGCCGCTCGCCTCGTCCAATCCGGACCCCTCCCTCACACCCGGCTACGAAGCTGTGTTTGCAGATGCCAACCGCGTGGTGGGCGTGCTGTGGTCCACCAAGCGCGATGCGGGGCTGTGGTTCGCCCCGTCGGCGGACATGGAGAAGCGTGTGGGCATCTAGGTGCTGCCCGTCTCACCCTTCCTCGCCCACCTCTTCCCTGACTGTGAGTTCGCCAAGCAGCTCGTGGAGTGGGCGCAACCCGTGCTTAGCAGTGCCGCCACGGATGAGTGGCGCGGATTTGCGTGGGCGCTGCAGGCGCTGTACGACCCGCAGGGGGCCACGGCGAACATTGCTGCTCTAGGTGCATTTTATGATGGTACCTCCAAGACCAACATGCTCTGGTGGCTCGCTTCCAACATGCCATAGCTAGGCAAGGTTGCTCATGATAGACTGATGCTCGTGCATGTACAGGATAGGACGCACATATCCATATTTGTGCGTATAAACAACATCTCTAGTATTTATATTAATGATGTTGCTTTGTTATGACCTGCCTCCTTCTACAATCTTTCCCAAACACAGTAGCCATCTGCAAAAGCAGCCACTTGGAAACTCGTTGGGAGCCATGTCCCCCCGATGTCATACTGTAGGCATATCTTTACAACCAACCTGCTGTCGATGTCAGCCAAGTAGACATCATCTTCAGCCGTGATGATGCTGCACTTTCTCTTGGAGTGAAGCCCACTGCGCTTCCTGATAGCCAGCAGTGCATTGATGGCCTCCTTGTGCCGCCACTCGTAGTAGTGGTCGTAGATCTGCAGCACACGAGAGTCATTGTGTCAGGCCATTCGTTATTTTCAAACTTTTCATGATGCACGTTGATACGGGGAAGGGGAATGACGCTGGAGCGATTCCAGTAATTTTCTACGGAGGCCTTTAGTAAAACTCTGAGAATGAAATTAGGTTAACACAACTATAAAGTAAGCTACACCTCATCATACTTCACCTGTCTTATAAAAAGCGGGGTTCAATAGTGTAAACAGGTCATGTAGAGAATTAGGTTCAATAGTGTAGACATCACTTCGATGCACGTTTGCCTTGATTCCATTTCGCTACCGCTTGGTTTTTTCGCCTGACGGCGAGTTCTATCGTCACGTTTCCGTTTCTTTTCGCACCCTGCTGTAGTCACATCACCAAGCTTGGGACCGTCAGCATCTGGCGAAATCTCACGATGCAGACCGGACCGCGTTTGGTATCCACGTGAAACGGGCATCATTCCTTTTACAGCAGGCGGTAACAGGTTCAGGGGGCCTGGCGCGAAGCCTCCGTGCAAACCGGCGCTCGGTCCATCCAGGTCAGATCGCGGTGCGAACACGCGGCAGCCCGAACGTGATTGCCGTGCCACGTCTTCCTAGCATCTCAAAAACACTTTTCCAAGGCGGCTCGTACACGAGTCGCTCCCATCCGATTTTCCAGGGCTTGGTCAGGTCAGACATTGAAGAAGCCATCGCGGCGCGCGCCTGAAATGGTGAAATTGAGCTTGAAATTAGCAAAGCTGCCTCCCAAACCTGTTTCACCAGATCTTTAGCGAAAGCCGTGGAAAGAATCGACGCACCTCGTTTTCCATCGCGACAAAACAATACAGACCTGTTGCCAAGGCATCCCGCGACCTTTCAACAAGGCTCGGTGAATAGATACTGCCGCTTTTTGCTCGCCGCCAACGGCTTTGTTCGGACAAGGCGACCGATTTCAACGGACGTCCATGACTAGCAACCCTCGCGACTGCTGCTCGCACCCCTCAAGATCCTGGCAGTCCCAAGTTTCTCGTTGATCCTGCTATCACCACATTCCGACGAACTGCTTTGATAGACTTGCGATCATTTGTCACAAAAGTTATGCGTGCTATGGGACAGACTAAACGCGCGAACAAGCAACAGAAGGAGAACTCGTAGCGCTGCATTACCAGCATTGGACGTAGGCAAGTCGGATCATAGCTCCTTCATTGCCTAAAGCGATTCCTTTTACTAGGTCTTACTAAAACATTAGGTTTCCTCAGCTCCTCGCCCTCTAATATAATTAGGTGTGCTGCCGTGAAAGATTCTTCACTTGCTCCTGAAGCCTTGGCCACGACCTTCTTTCGCCAATGGCGGGGGTCTTGCCAGCAGCGCGGCCTGCAGCTGGATGGCAGGACGATCGCAAGTAAGTGACCTCTTAGGAATATAGGGAGCCATGAGAATCTCGTGACATCTCAGAGTCGCACTCCAAGATTGCACCATTTTTCACTCATTGTTGAGTACCTGCACGCACTGCCGCTTCATCACTCACTCACCTTGTGAGTGGGCATAAAAAACATACCTTGTGGCATCACTCACCTTCCGTCCCTTGTGCCATGTCTCCTTCCCCCATCTCTGCGCACGCCAGTGAACCAGCGACTTCGGACTCGTCGGCGGGAGCCATAGTGGGCGGATGGGGCGCCAAGTGGGCCAGCATGGCACAAGCCAACGAGAGCGTAACGGACGAGGACGCACCCGAGGGGCTGCTGCAACTGGCGCGGCAGATCCAGGAACGGCAGGAGGAGGACGAGGTGGAAGAAGAGGTTTGGGACGATGACGCCCATGTCGACGAGGAGGAGATTTACCCCGTTGAGCGATCTTCCAGCGGCCGCAAGCGCGGCATGGTTGGAGTTGTCGCCGGTTGCGGCGTGCCGATCGAGTCGTCGCCCGGGAGCGGCAAGACGAAGAAGAAGAAGTCGTTTTTCGGGCTCGCGTCCATCGTGCGATCGCTGTCGGGCCGATCGAAGAGGAGGCCTGGTGGCAAGGACGCGTCGCCCGCTGCTGCAGCGCGCCGAGGCCAGATTGCGCCCGAGCCGTACAGCGCGACCGACGCCAACCCCGCTGAGGCAGGCAACGCGTACGGCCGAGAGATGCCGCAGCCGCAGAAGCTGCACTTTGCGCCGTCGCAGCAACAGCAAGCTTCTGCGCCCACTCCGCCGAGCGTGCAGACACAGGCGTACCAGCAGGTTGAGGAGCCCGCAAGGAGCGGCCTGCAGCAGCTGCAGCAGCAGCTGCAGAGTCAGGAACATGCCGCTGCGACATGGAGCTCCGTTCCCGTGAATCTCGAGGGACTGCGCGACGTGCTCGACAAGCGCATGGCGGAGGACCACGATGGTTCGAGCGGAAGGCTGGCGGAGGGCGGACAACCGGCGCGCAGGTCCGGGAATCTGCGGTCTGCGGACAAGTGGTTGCGGCAAATCGCGGCGGCGGAAGAAGAAGGCCGGCTTGACATCGCGACGCGCCTCTTTGAGCTCGCTCAAGAGTGCGGCTCGCAGGTACGCTTGTTGTATCCCTGTCTTCTTGCCCTTCATGGTTCGAGTGTTGGTTTTCCTTTTAGTTGATGTTGATCTGTCGACATTCTTTTTTCCTTTGTCGATCTGTTGATGTTAATGTTTATTGTAGTTGTTTAATCACCTACTCATTACTTCTGGTCTGCGTGTGCAGCCTGTGGAGGCCATTCTCGAGGCGAAGGAGGCGTTCAATCAGCGTCACGGCATCGCTCCGCCGTCCGCCCCGCGCTCCCCGCTGCGCTCACCGCTCCGCTCCCCCGCGCGGTCTCCGGCCAACACGCGTTCGCCTCTCCGCTCGCCCATTTCGTCCCCGCTGCGCTGCCTCGCGCCCAAGGCGCAGAAAGACGCGGACTCGTCGGACGAAGAAGAGGACGCGGACGCGGAGCCGCGCCTGCGCGCGGCGGAAACCGGCAAGGCGCCGCGGAAGCTCCACGTGGAGGAGATTGAGATTGAGGATGTGCCTGACGTGGATGGCTACAGCAGCGACGAAGGGAAGCGCGGGCAAGCGGAGGAGGAGGAGAGGGAGGCGGAAGAAGAAGCGTGGGAGGAAGGCGAAGGGAGTGAGGAAGGGAAGCGAGGATGGCTCACCAGGATTCGCCAGAGCTCTCCTACCAGCTGCTTCAAGCCGTCAACCAAGCAGTCGTCGCAGCAGCGCCAGCAGCATCAGGGCGGCGACAGCGGCAAGGCGTCGCCCGTGCCCGCTAGCCCAGGCAGCTCTGTGCCTGCCGAGAAGGCCGCCGCAGCAAACGCTGCTGCCGCCGCCTTCGCGGGAGTTGGCCATTACGGCGCGACGACGGTGACGGAAGTGACGGAGGTGACGGAAGTGACGGAGGTAACGGAGGCGGAGTCGGAGTCGGAGTCGGAGTCGGAGACGGAGACGGAGACGGAATCGGAGTCGGAGTCGGAAGGCCGAGAGGAGTCTGTCATGGAGACGTCAATCGGGGTAACAGCTGGCGACGCTGATGCGGATAAGGCGAGGGAGGAGAAGGAGGAGGCGAGCGAAATTCACGCGACGGCACCGGCACCGCCGTCGCCGTCGGCGTCATCCTCCTGCTCGTCGTCGTCGGAAGAGGAGGAGGATGAAGAGTCGCACACGGAGTCGTTCAAGGAGTCGCATGTGGCGATGTCGCAGACGCAGTCGCAGTCGGAGATGACGGCGTTGACGCGCGACGATAGTCTCGAGACGGCGAACACGGCGGCGTCAGGAGTGGGATCGACTTATCTTGATGCTACAGCCGCCAGTCCCAGCTCCGTGGCTTCGTCGGTCCGCCCTGCTACAGCCTTCCGCAACTCCGCGTTCGATTCCGCGAGCACCACGTTCCGCCTGCCAGCTTCCGCCCCCGCGCCCGACCCGTACAAGGGCGGCGCAGCTGCGGCGGCCGCGGCGGCGGCGGCTGTAGCGGCGGCTGCTGCGGCGGAGTTCAAGTCGCCGATCAACTATGGCAGCGACGGCGACGACATGGTGATGCTGCGCGCCAAGCGAGCGCCGGACTATGGGGCGGCTGCGAGCGCGGAGCACAGCCAGGAGCAGGCAGAGGCGCAGGCGGCGGAATCGGCGTCCGCTGCTGTCCCCGCTTCCGCGACTATCGCGCTCTCTGCGGGCGAGAGCACTTTCGCGGAAGAGGCGGAGGAGGAGGCGGAGTCGGACGCGGGGGATGCGCGGAGGCTGCAGCAGCAGACGTGGGCGGAAGGGGAGAACGAAGTGGCGCAGGCGGAATCCATCGAGCGGAGCAATGCGTATAGCTCGAGCAGTGAAAGCGAGAGCGAGAGCGAGAGTGAGGAGGAGGAGGAGGAGGAGGAGGAGGAGGGTGAGAAGATCGTGCCAGTGGTGGACTCGTTCCACGGGCCGGCGCCAACAGCGGCGGAGCAAGCTGCTGAGGCACGGGCGGCGGAGGCGCAGGCGGAGAGGCTTGCGGAGGCGCAGGCGGCTGCGCAGGCGGCGGCGCAAGCGGAGAAGGAGAAGGAGAAGGAGGAGGACGAAGAGGAGGACGTGTTTGAGGACGATGAGGAGGAGAACTGGGAGGACTGCAGGAGCGCGGCTGGCGACTGGAGCGAGACGGAGAGCGAGCGCAGCTACAAGCGCGACTACCGGCGCGGCGGCTCGTCGCTCTTCACGGCTGGGTCTGCGCGCCAAGCCTTGCTCCTGCAGCAGCAGCAGCAGTTCCAGCAGCAGCAGAGCGTGGTGCCTGCTAAGGCCGTGGTGCCAACTCCAGCGGCGGCGGCGGTAGCGGCAGCACCGGCGGCTGCGAGCAGCAGCAACAGCAGCGCGAGCAGCGGCAGCAGCGAGAGCGAGTGGGAGCGAGAGGTGACGACGGAGGGGCTTGAGAGCGCGCTGGGTCCCATCAGCCCGCCGTGCAGCCCTCCTCCCCCTGCTGCTCCTATTCCTGCTCCTGCTCCTGCTCCTGCTCCTGTTACTTCTGCTCCTCCCGCGGCCGTCCCGGTGGAGGCTGCTCCTGTCACGAGGCCTGTGACCCCGCCTGCTGCTGCTTTCGCGCAGCCGTCGCCCGTTGCGCTTTCGCAAGCTGCCTCGTCGTCGCCGTCGCCCGTCGCGAGGTCGCGACCTGCGTCGCCTGGAGCTCCTGCGACGGAAGAGGCGCAGGCGGAGGCTCAGGGAGAGAGCGCGGTTGTGCAGACTGTATCGGAGGTGAGCGCTCGACTGAAGGCCGCCACTGCCGCCACTGGTGCTGGCGCAGCTGCTGCTGCGTCTCACGCGGCGGTCCCCGTCAAGTCGCCTCTGCGGCAGGCGGCCAAGGCCCCCGTGCCTCTGGAATCCGCGGGTTTCCTCGCGCCCACTGCGTCTACGGCTAGCAAGACCAAGGCGCCTGCTGTGTGCGCTACCTCGGGCGCTGCGGCGGCTGCTGGCACTGGCGCCGCTGGCGTGGGCGCCGGAGGGAGCGCCGGTGCTGCTGCTGCGGCGCGTGCGGGACGCCGGACCAGCCTTGCCGGCGGTGGCGGTGCTGGTGGTGCGGGTGGTGCTGTGTCTGCTGCTGGAGCAGTGGCAGGAGGAGAACGGGCTGCGACGGGTCTGCAGAGGGGAGGTCCTCTGGGCAGGTCTGTCAGTGCTGACCGCTCCTCCCACCGCCCCTCTTCTTCTGCTTCTGCTGGCGGTCATGCTCCTGTGTCGCCGCTGGCAGTGTCGACGTCAGGCCTCGTCTTGCCTCTGCACTCCCTCGCTGCCGCTCCCTTGCCTTCCCCCGCCCGCGGCACTGCGTCGCCCAGCCGGGTGGGAGGAGGAATCGGCAAGGGTGCTCCTGGTGCTGCTGCTGGTGTCGGTGGTTCGGCTGCGAGCAACCCGAGCAACACCCTGGGCGCGGGGTCTCGGCGTCTGCTTATGCTGCAGGATCCTGCTCCTGGAAGCAGCGGCAGCAAGGGAGGGAGGAGCAGGGGGGCGAGTGGAGACACGGAGGAGCAGGAAGGGAGCTGTGGTTCAGGCCTGGAGGTGCCAGCGCAGGGCATGGGCTCTCTGCTCAAGGGCGTGGGGAGAGGCACGGACGCGTTTGGATTACCGGATGTGGTGGAGAGCGGTAGCAGCAGCAGCGCCAGTGGTGGTGTGAGGCAGCAGCGGAAGCAGGGGGGTGCGGCAGCGGCGTTGGTGACTGCAGTGGCGGCGGCGGCGGCTGCTGCGCCGGCGTCTGTGGCGGCAGAGGCGGCGGCTGCGGCGGGGATTGGGATGAAGGGGCACGAGGTGGTGGTGGGCGGAGGGACGAGCTTCGGTTACCGTGCCAACCAGAGCGCCGGTGCTGGCGATATTGGAGCAGCAGCAGCTAACGGCGGCGGCGCTGGTGGCGCTGCTGCGGCTGCTGCAGCGGCTGGGCGGAGGGCGTCTCTAGCAGGAGCTTCTAAGCTGAAGGGGCCCGGAGTGGGCGCAGGGGTGGGTGGCAGCGGCAGGCGCGAGGAGGGCGGTGGATCGTCGACCCTGCTGCAGCCGCTGCGTCAGTCGGTGTCTCACCATCGCAGCAGCATTGGCGGTGGTGCCGGCGGCTCGTTTGCAGGGGAGCATCGGCTGGATGTGCTGAGCAGCAAGAGCATCAACAGCAGCAACCACCATGCCGCAGCTGCTGCTGCGGCTGCTGCCAACAGGGGCGGAGGTGGAGGAGGAGGGACGAAGAAGAGCGGGTGGGAATCGTCACTGAGGGAGAGCAGTAGCAGCACGGTGAAGGGCGGGTTCACCACGACCGGTCTGAAGCGCTCTAGCACGTTCGGCAGCAACAGCACAGCAGCTGGTGCCAGCGGCGCGGCAGCAGGCCTGAACGCCCGCCCGGGAGTATCCCCCCTTAGCAGCGGCATCGGCAGGGGCGGAGCAGGAGGAGGAGGAGCGGGAGGAGCGGCGGCGGCAGCGGCCGCAGCAAGGAGGCTGTCGGTGGGCAGCGCGGACCACCGGACTCATACCGACCGGACTCATACGGCAGCGAGCAGCGTGGCAGGGAGTGGTGTGGCCGATCTGGATGACTTGGCGGGCGCGGAGGAGAGGGGGGATGCGCTGGCGGTGCAGTTCCAGAAGTGGACGACGAGTCTGAGGAGCCCCAGCCCCAAGCCTGGTGCTGCTGCAGAGCGGCCCCCGTGGGGCGGACCCAGGGGAGGGAGACCTGCTGCGAATAATGGGCCGAGGAACGGTGAGTGTGGGGGTAAGGGAAGGGGTGGGGGAAGTTTGGGTGGGGTGAGAAGCATGGCTGGAGGGCGGTGGTGGTGGTGGTAGTGTGTTGTTGGGTGTTGTTGCTTTCCCTGGTTGTTTTGCACTCTGTTGTGCTTTTTTGTGATTTTGCTGTGTGTCTATCCTCGTTTTGCTAATCATGTGCCTTCACCCCCTCCTATCCTCGTTCCTATGGGGGTTGGGGTTGGTGTTGATGTGTGTGCGAGTGCAGGTGCCACAGCGCAAGGCAGGAAGCTGTCTGCACCGACCGCCTCGTCCCGCATACTGTGAAGAGAAGGGAAACCGTTGGACAGTTACCGGTAGCAGAGAAGAGGGTGCATGAACATGCTTCATACAGGGACCGATTACATATACTGAGTGCTGCTTGTGTGTGCCTGGGGGAAGTGGCTAGATGGCTTTGGTGTGGGGTGCGTGGAGGGCCGATGGGTTGAGGCGGAAGTGGGTGGAGGAAAGAGAGGGGGAGGGTGATGTGGTGGTAGGCCGCAAGAGATAGTGGCAGGGAAGGAATTCTGCCTGTGGTAGATGTCCCTTCATACTTGTGTGCTTGTGTGTTCGTAGTGATAGGATGTACCGTAGCTTTGAATTGGAATAAGTACAATGGGCGTAGTGTTAAGATACTTGGTGTTTTTCTAGATAGAATTGATGTGACAATTACTGTAGCTAGTTCGATCTTCAAGGGTACGTATAACGTCGCATAGCAAACTGTAGTAATGCCTGAAGATGGCTCGTTGGGGTTGCCATCAGTACTTGCAGCTGCTTGCACCCATTCCGGTTACAGGTCATGCGAAGAGGTATCCTGTACCGGGTACTAGTGCCTGGCACGAGCCACACTGTCTCTTCTTTTGAAGCGACTCATAAGTCATCTCGTTAGAATGGCACATGACACAATTTGAGTCGAGTCAAAAGTCATCAACAGGCCCTCAGATTCACTCTGAGGGTCGTCAACCCATCAGGGTCCCCCTGTGTGTAAACTCTGATTGACAGTGTTCCAAAAAAAAAAAGCCTGAAATGTCAGTGTTGCGTTTGTAAAAAGCCTGATGCATCAGTGTAGCACTAGTAAAAAGGCTGTCACTAACGCGTCGCATGTGATGGCAACGGGGCAGGATCCTTGGCAGCCCCCCAGCACCACATGGTGGCCATGTTCGGATTGGCCAAGACTGACTGCTGCAGCGAAACGGCCCAATGGTGTGAGGCGCCGTGCTAACAAAACACCTCTGAACGTGAACCAGAGGCAGAATTTCACAGGTTGGCCTCGTCACGGGGTGCTTACACCTCAGGAATCTGAGATTCCCTGTAATTGCGGTCAAATCCACATGGCACAGGTAAGAATCGCTTTAGTGTTGGTTTCGTTACAACGTTGTGGCATCAGTGTCCTAGGGGAAAAAAGTCTGAAATTTCAGTGTGGCCTAACAAAAAAGGCTGAAAGATCAGTCCCTCAATCTCAACACCGACTTTTCAGGGTAGGTAAAAAAAGGACTGCCAAAATCAGGAATTTCAGGGTTTTTTTTCTGATATCTGAGGCCCTGGTCATCAAGTCATGCAAAGAGGCATCCTGTACCCTGTTGTGGTGCCTATGGCACGAGCCGCTGTCTCTTCTGTGGCAAATGGCCGAGTGGAATAGCCGATGATTGCGTGGGTGAGGAGGAAACTGATGCTGCTGCTAGGCGCCGGGGAGGTGTGGGACGGGCAACCCATTCGAAATGGTTGCAGCGAGCTTGAGGGTTGTCCGCGGGGCCCTGCAGGTGGAGGAGGAGCGACGAGGCGAGCAGAGGAGTGGAGGAGGACATAGCATTAGATGCAATGCAGATGAAGAACAACAGAGGAGTAGGGATGGATGGTTGCAGCGAGCTTGAGGGTTGTCCGAGGGGCCCTGTGGACAGAGGAGGAGCGACGAGGCGAGCAGTGGAGAAGGACATAGCATGAGATGCAATGCAATACAAGAGATGAAGGACAAAGGAGGAGTAGGGATGGAATGGGGCAGAGAAACGTAGTGGGATAGGATACAAGAGGACACTGTAGGGCTGAACAAGAGGAGCATGGGCACGTATGGGTGCATTGAGAGCTGCGTGGTGCGTGGTGCGTGCACAGGTGAGCTTGGAGCATTGCAAGGAGGAAAGATTGTCAGCTTGGCATCCAGCAAGCAGCGAGCAGCAAGCAGGGTGCTGCTTGCAGCTAGTACGCTGACAGTGGCAGGGTGGCAGTGGCAGGTTGCAGGTTGGCAGGGACTGACCTTGGCTCGAGCACAGACGTAGAAGCCTCTGCCCTTGTTGGCACCGGGTCTCTTCACCACGCGCACCACACATGCCTCGCCATGCCCCGCACACCGTGGCGGCCCTGCCTGCATGCGCGCTAACACCCCCTGCCACTGCTGCCGCCGCTGATGCTGCTGCTGCTGCTGCCGTGGTTGTTGTTGCTGCTGCTGAATCCAACCGTGCTCCCTTGCTTCTTCTGCTGCGTCACGATCACATGCGGCCGCTGCTCCCCCGTGTGCATGTGCATGTGCATGTGCATGTGCACGTGCCCCCTCCTCCCCACTGCGTTCCCTGTTCCACCCACCTACTACGCACTGAGCGTCCTGAGAGGCTGCTGCCTGTGTTCCCCCGGGACTGATCCTCCCACACCATCCCGCATCCACTCCACCCTCCTCGCCTTCCCTCTGGCCTATGCAGAGATCAGCCATAACAACTTGATTCCCTACTTGCAACCGTCTCTCTGCTCCCTCTGTTCTCTCTGCTCCCTCCCTTCTCTCTGCTCCCTCTGTTCTCTCTGCTCCCTCTGTTCTCTCTGCTCCCTCTGTTCTCTCTGCTCCCTCTGTTCTCTCTGCTCCCTCTGTTCTCTCTGCTCCCTCTGTTCTCTCTGCTCCCTCTGCTCTCGCTGCTCCCCACACTGTGGCAGCACACACCCCTTGAACTTCCCCTACAGCTGCTGCTACAACCACTTCCCTCCTCTCCCCTCTCACACTTCCTCCTGCCACCCTTCTATCAGTTCCCCGCCCTTCTCCTTCCCCCCTTGCTCTGCATCTTTCACCCTCTCCCACCTCTACTGCTGCTGGCCTTTTGTTCTCTGGTCTAAAAAACGCCTGTAATCGCATCTGCTCCGCACCTCCTCCTCGCCCCTTTCTTCCTCCTCCCCTCCCCTCTCCTCCCCTTTGTCTTGTTCCATTTCTCCCACCCTGCCTCATACTACTTCCACTGGCTCTTCTGCCAACATCAACACTAACACCACCATCACCATCCCCACCACCACCACCACCACCACCACCATCACAAGCTGCTGCTGCAGCCACTGCAACCGCTGCCGCTTCTCTCACCGCTGCATCAGCGACGGCCACGGATGGAGTGGAAGCAGGTGGAGTGGCAACAATGTGCTTGCTGTTCGTGCATTCCCCACACCTGCAAGTCACTGCAACCCAAGCAGGTGCTGTCGTGGTGTGAACACCAGGGTTGCCCTTGCCAACCGAACCCTCCAGGCTTCCACAGCCTCCATCCTTACTGCAGCAGCAGCAGCAGCAGCCCACAGCAGCAGAGCCCACTCTAGCAAGCCATCCCTCATCCCGATTCTCATGCCCTCTTCCAAACATGGCCTCCTGACCTATCCCATTGCTCGCATTTTCCCCTGCCTCGCCCACCGTCCCTGCCTCGCCAACCCTCGCTCTCTCGCCCACCGTCCCTGCCTCGCCAACCCTCGCTCTCTCGCCCACCTTGCCTTCCTGCCGGACCTCCCTTTTCCACGCCTCCCCTAGAGTGGCCTGCCTGCCCCTTATCTCCGGCATGAACCGAGCCGCCAGTGCCGGCACTGCCTGCAAGCGGCGTGCTGCAGTCCCTTGCGATGCAGTGCGGTGAACTCTGGTTTGCTGTGAAGCAGTCTGGTGTGCTGGGGTATGAGACGATGCAGTGTAGTGCGGCACGGAGCGGTGCAGTGCGGTGGGGTCCCTTAGCTGAATGGCAACGGGGACGTGGTCCGAGCCTTGCAGCCGCATCGATCGGCTTTGATGCCAGCTGCAATGGGTGCATGGAGCATGGGGAATGGAGCATGGGGAATGGAGCATGGGGCACGGAGCATGGAACATGGGGGTGAGGGGAGGAAAGAGAAGCGTGGTGGGCGAGAAGGAGGCAGGTGGAATGAGAGAAAGGGATGGAGAGAAGAGCAGGAAGAGAACAGAGCAACGATCGAGACGGGAAAATGGGGAGGTAAGGGACGAGCAAAAGAAAAAGATTGTTGAAATACCTAAGCACAAGTCGCCGCACAGCATAGCACAGCACTGTACAGCACAACACAGCACAGCACAGCACAGCACAGCACAGCATGGCGGATACCGTGGCAGGGAGTCGTGCTTGAAGCGGCGGAAGTGGAGGAGAATGTCTGCTGCCACCACATCACATGCTGCAAACGAGTGCTGCTGCTGCCCCTGCTGCTGCGGCTGCATCTGATTTGCAGCATCATGGCAGTTCCATTCTTGAGAAGGTAACGGGGAAGAAGAGGCGAGGACGGGCGAACACGAGGAGGCGGGGCGGTGGTGGGAGCAGGAGCAGGATAAGGGAGAGAAGGGACGGGAAGGAGTGAAGGGGCAGGCGAAGCAGGGACCGGCAACAAGAATGAGGTCGATGCGCACGCCATAGTTAAACTCCTCTGCTCCACTCGCTGCCGACCAGCACGTGAACGCCTCACGCCTGGTGGGTACGGAGAGCAGCAGAGAGGCAGCGAGAGAGGAGAAGTAAGAAGCAGAGAGGAGCAGAGAGAGCGAAGCAGAAGGGAGCACAGGGCAGAGCAGGAGAGAGGAGCAGAAAGGGATTGCTTGGCTGCACATTGGCCAAACCGTTGGTATGCAAGAACGAGAAGAGTTCAAGGTGACTGGGTTTCGGAACAGATTAGAGCTTGTGGACAGGCGATGTTTTTGTAGAGCAGCAGGAGGAGGACGGACGGATTTCAACGAGGCGCCACGCTCCCAACTAGCCCAACTAGCTCTATCCTGACACCTTGTTTGACTGGTCCAAATCGTCCAAATCGTCCAAGTTGTCCAACTCGTCCAGTTGGTCACACGGTTGCCTGGTCTACCAGGCATGCACTGGTTACCTGGTGGGATGGAAGGCTCTGAAGGTGTCGACAAACAGCAGCTGCTCCCCTTGTGCTCCCTGTACCTCGCTCCCTGCTCCCTGCCCCCCCTGTAACGCCTGCATCTCCCCACCGGGAATTGCTGAACCTCGCTGCTCTTCTCCCCGCCATGCCTCACAGCACCCGCCTCTAGACTGTGATGTTGCTACCGCTGCTACTGCTGCTGCGGCTGTTGCTTGTGATGCTGCGGCTGCAGCTTCAGGAACAAGTGTGTGCGGTGGTGGTTGCGGGTGTGGGGTGAGCTGTGAGGGCGCGATGGTGGTGGTGGTGATGGTGGTGGTAGTGTTGGAGCCGGGGCGCTTTCCCATCAGCTCTTGAGGTGCCTCAAAGGTTGCAGCACCATGCACAGTTGCAGTCTGGGATTGCGAGTTTTGAGTCGCCTCAGAACTTGTCCATAATTGCGGGTGTGGGGTGAGCTGTGAGGGCGTGGTGGTGGTGGTGGTACTGTTGGAGCAGGGGCGCTTTGCCATAAGCTCGTGTAGCCACTGGCGACACCTGATAGAGTGACATAGTGGGGATGAGATGAGATGGGATGGGATGGGATGGGATGGGGTGGGATGGGGTAGGAAGAGGTGGGGAGGGTGCATGGGGGAAGGTGGAAGGAAGGAAGGATGGATGGATGGACGGACGGACGGACGGACGGACGGACGGATGGATGGGTGGGTGGATGGGCGGATGAATGAATGAGTTTCATATGTGAAATATCTACCCAACCAACCCATTCCCATTGCACCCATGCAACAGCATAGCAGCCACCCATCCCCATCAGCCCACCCTTGATCCAATCCCACATACGGGTCACTATCAAAGTCCGAGCAAGGGTGGCAGGAGTCGATGGGGTGTGGGCATATGTTGAAATCCCCCGCCACCACTACTGCCTTGCCTCCTGCCTGCAGCTCCCGTTGCATGCGCCGCTGGTACGGGTGGTGGTGTGGGCATATGTTGAAATCCCGTTCATGGTGGCGTAAGAGAGGTGTGGGGGGGTTGTGGAAGAGAGCGGAGCATGGGAAGGAGAGAGATTGAGGAGGATACATTGTGTGAGAGAAGACAGAAGGAGGGGGAGGATGAAGGGAGAGGAGGAGGAAGGAGGGAGAGGAGGAGAAAGGAGGGAGAGAAGGAGGAAGTAGGGAACATTACTTGAAGCACATAAACAAGTGACCAGGATTTCGCCCAGGATTTCGCCCAGGATTTCGCCCAGGTATTCGCCCCGGCATCACCTGAACAACTCGCTGCGTGTGTTGCATGTAGAGTGGTGGACGAAGGGTTGGATTGGGGAGAGGGCAGAGCATGGGAGAGGGGAGATGGTGAAGGAAGGGGTGGGGGGTTGAGGGGGAGTGACGAAGGAGGAGGGGAAGATAGGAGGACTGGAGGAATGCATGGAGGATTGCATGGAGGATTGCATGGAGGATTGCATGGAGGATTGCATGGAGGATTGCATGGAGGATAAACTGCCTACCACCACCTGACAACGACCAAGCACCTGAAGCGCGGTGAGAAAGATCATTTTGAAGCGCAGGCGCTCGGCATCCCCTGGGGCCACTCGCGGCACGTACACGTTGAATAGCACTGGGGGACAGGTGGATAGGGGATTGGGATGAGGACGGGACATGGGGAGGAATGGGGGCATGGGAAATGGGAAATGGGAAATGGGAAATGGGAAATGGGAAATGGGAAATGGGAAATGGGAAATGGGAAATGGGAAATGGGAAATGGGAAATGGGAAATGGGAAATGGGAAATGGGAAATGGGAAATGGGAAATGGGAAATGGGAAATGGGAAATGGGAAATGGGAATATGGGAAATGGGAAATGGGAAATGGGAAATGGGAAATGGGAAATGGGAAATGGGGAAATGGAAATGGGAAATGGGAAATGGGAAATGGGAAATGGGAAATGGGAAATGGGAAATGGGAAATGGGAAATGGGAAGGGAAATGGGAAATGGGAAATGGGAAATGGGAAATGGGATGGAAATGAGGAAATGGGAAATGGGAATGGGAAATGGGAAATGGGAAATGGGAAATGGGAAATGGGAAATGGGAAATGGAAATGGGAAATGGGAAATGGGAAATGGGAAATGGGAAATGGGAAATGGGAAATGGGGAAATGGGAATGGGAATGGAACTGGGAAATGGGAAATGGGAAATGGGAAATGGGAAATGGGAAATGGGAAATGGGAAATGGGAAATGGGAAATGGGAAATGGAAATGGGAAATGGAAATGGAAATGGGAAATGGGAAATGGGAAATGGGAAATGGGAAATGGGAAATGGGAAATGGGAAATGGGAAATGGGAAATGGGAAATGGGAAATGGGAAATGGGAAATGGGAAATGGGAAATGGGAAATGGGAAATGGGAAATGGGAAATGGGAAATGGGAAATGGGAAATGGGAAATGGGAAATGGAAATGGGAAATGGGAAATGGGAAATGGGAAATGGATGGGAAATGGGAAATGGGAAATGGGAAATGGGAAATGGAAATGGGAAATGGGAAATGGGAAATGGGAAATGGGAAATGGGAAATGGGAAATGGGAAATGGGAAATGGGAAATGGGAAATGGGAAATGGGAAATGGGAAATGGGAAATGGGAAATGGGAAATGGGAAATGGGATGGGAAATGGGAAATGGGAAATGGGAAATGGGAAATGGGAAATGGGAAATGGAAATGGGAAATGGGAAATGGGAAATGGGAAATGGGAAATGGGAAATGGGAAATGGGAAATGGGAAATGGGAAATGGGAATGGGAAATGGGAAATGGGAAATGGGAAATGGGAAATGGGAAGGGGAAATGGGAAATGAATGGGAAATGGGAAATGGGAAATGGGAAATGGGAAATGGGAAATGGGAATGGAAATGGGAAATGGGAAATGGGAAATGGGAAATGGGAAATGGGAAATGGGAAATGGGAAATGGGAAATGGGAAATGGGAAATGGGAAATGGGAAATGGGAAATGGGAAATGGGAAATGGGAAATGGGAATGGGAAATGGGAAATGGGAAATGGGAAATGGGAAATGGGAAATGGGAAATGGGAAATGGGAAATGGGAAATGGGAAATGGGAAATGGGAAATGGGAAATGGGAAATGGGAAATGGGAAATGGGAAATGGGAAATGGGAAATGGGAAATGGGAAATGGGAAATGGGAAATGGGAAATGGGAAATGGAAATGGGAAATGGGAAATGGGAAATGGGAAATGGGAAATGGGAAATGGGAAATGGGAAATGGGAAATGGGAAATGGGAAATGGGAAATGGGAAATGGGAAATGGGAAATGGGAAATGGGAAATGGGAAATGGGAAATGGGAAATGGGAAATGGGAAATGGGAAATGGAAATGGGAAATGGGAAATGGGAAATGGGAAATGGGAAATGGGAAATGGGAAATGGGAAATGGGAAATGGGAAATGGGAAATGGAAATGGGAAATGGGAAATGGGAAATGGGAAATGGGAAATGGGAAATGGGAAATGGGAAATGGGAAATGGGAAATGGGAAATGGGAAATGGGAAATGGGAAATGGGAAATGGGAAATGGGAAATGGGAAATGGGAAATGGGAAATGGGAAATGGGAAATGGGAAATGGGAAATGGGAAATGGGAAATGGGAAATGGGAAATGGGAAATGGGAAATGGGAAATGGGAAATGGGAAATGGGAAATGGGAAATGGGAAATGGGAAATGGGAAATGGGAAATGGGAAATGGGAAATGGGAAATGGGAAATGGGAAATGGGAAATGGGAAATGGGAAATGGGAAATGGGAAATGGGAAATGGGAAATGGGAAATGGGAAATGGGAAATGGGAAATGGGAAATGGGAAATGGGAAATGGGAAATGGGAAATGGGAAATGGGAAATGGGAAATGGGAAATGGGAAATGGGAAATGGGAAATGGGAAATGGGAAATGGGAAATGGGAAATGGGAAATGGGAAATGGGAAATGGGAAATGGGAAATGGGAAATGGGAAATGGGAAATGGGAAATGGGAAATGGGAAATGGGAAATGGGAAATGGGAAATGGGAAATGGGAAATGGGAAATGGGAAATGGGAAATGGGAAATGGGAAATGGGAATGGGAAATGGGAAATGGGAAATGGGAAATGGGAAATGGGAAATGGGAAATGGGAAATGGGAAATGGGAAATGGGAAATGGGAAATGGGAAATGGGAAATGGGAAATGGGAAATGGGAAATGGGAAATGGGAAATGGGAAATGGGAAATGGGAAATGGGAAATGGGAAATGGGAAATGGGAAATGGGAAATGGGAAATGGGAAATGGGAAATGGGAAATGGGAAATGGGAAATGGGAAATGGGAAATGGGAAATGGGAAATGGGAAATGGGAAATGGGAAATGGGAAATGGGAAATGGGAAATGGGAAATGGGAAATGGGAAATGGGAAATGGGAAATGGGAAATGGGAAATGGGAAATGGGAAATGGGAAATGGGAAATGGGAAATGGGAAATGGGTGGGACAGCAAGAGAGCGCAGCAGGGAAGCCAAAGGGCGAGTGGAGTGGACAACCCATGGCATCCCAAACATCCCATCCCATCCCATCCCGGCCAACCCATGGCATGGACCAAAGTTGTACCAAACGAGGCATGGTGGGTGACAACGCATCGGCCCTCGCTGTCCACTCGCCTCAGCACCTCCCTGCTCACCCCCTCCACCTCCACCACCTTCCCCACCCCCTCCCTCCGTGCTGCCTCCCCCCCGCCCTCCCCTCCCTGTGTCACCATGCATTTTCCACTGCTGGTGGCACTGTTGCTGCTGGTGGTGGTACTGGCAGTGGTGGTGGTTTTGGTGCACGGGTCTTTGGCAGGAGCGAGCAGCCCCGTAAAGCCATCCTCAGCAGCGAATGGCATCGCATCCCACTCCCTCCTGCTGCTGCCGCCTCTGCAGCTGCAGCTGCTGCAGTTACTGGACGCGGCATGGGTGGTGGTGTTTGCAGCCTTGGGGGTGGTGTCTGCTGTGGTGGTGGGAGTGGTGGTGGCGGTGGCCGTAGCGTGGTTGGTATTGGAGGTGGTGGTGGTGGTGGTGGCGGCGCCTGTGGTGGCAGCATGCGTGGTGGTGCTCGTTGCAGCAGAGGGCACACGGCAGAATGTCACCACTCCTGCACGCGTGGGGTGGGGTGGGGGAGCACAGCAGTTGGAACGAAGCGCGGGGCGATCAAAAGGCCAGGAACAAGGACCCTCCGATATATTATTAGTGAAGGAGCAGCGCACAGCAGCACGGCAAAGGTGAACAACAATGCTCGTGTTGACCTTCATATTGCTGTTTCCACCACACTCGTATCGTATCCCCTTTGGTGGACAGTTAAATAGACAGACAGACAGATGTACGGACGGACGGACGGACGGATGGACGGACGGATAGATGGACGAACGGACCCTTGAATGAACGTGAAATCCCAGGCTCACTCACTCCCTGTTGCTTCAGAGGTGCTCGGCCCTCTTTCAAGCACAGCACGCCTGCATGCACACACGTGCTCAGAACGACGGGGTGTTGTGGGAGCGGTTGCAGAGCGGGCAGGCGAGAAGAAGAGAAGAGAAGGAGAGGAAAGAGACCAGAGTAGGCGAGGCGGCCGCGGGAGGGGGCGCGGTTGAAGGAGAAGAAGGCCTCGTAGCCGGGCGTGATGGCCACGTCCTCTGTCACGTCCTGCCGCGCTAGCTTCGTCTCCTGGCAGGCAGCGCGGTAGTGCGGGTTGGGGGCAGGGGAAAGGGAGGCCTGTTGAGTTGACATGACACGTCTCTCAGAAGCTGCTGCCTGTCACGCCCTGCAGCTCTAGATCCGCCTCAAGGCAGAGTAGCGTGGAGGTGCGCGTGGGGGGAGGGCAAAGGAGGCCGGCTACGTTGGCACGTCTCTCAGAACGCCTCGTAGCCGGGGGTGATGGCCACGTCCGCTGTCACGTCCTGCCGCGCTAGCTTCGTCTCCTGGCAGCGCGGACGGATCAGGAGGAAGGGGAAACGGGGGGTGAAGAGGCGGGGAAGTAGAGAAAGGGCGGGGAGAGTGGGCGGAGGAGGGTGAAGTGACGCGGTAGTAATGCAGCCAGGCCCAGGCAACACGTGGTGGTGAGGGCAGTTGTGGTGTACGTGTGTGTACCAGGGTGAACCAGGGTGAACCTACGTTACACCCGCTATATGACTCATTTCCAGGTTCGGAACCTGGGGGGCGACCCTGTGCAGCATTCTCTTCTCCCACGAGCCCCATTGGATAACCACGGTGGTGCTGGTGCCGGTGCTGCGGCTGGTGGCATGGCATCTGGTGAGTGAGATTGTTGTAGTGCGGTAATCGGTCGCACACCTGCAAGCACACGACGTCAGCGTCGAGCGCGGAGAGCAGCGCGCCGAGCGAGCCGTGCTGCTGCACTCGCGCGCGCAGCCCGTTGACGTTGAACGACACGATGCGCATCGCATAGTCGCACACACGCACGCACGGACGCACGCACGGACGCACGGACGCACACACGGACGCACGCACGGACGCACACACGCACGCACGGACGCACGCACGCACGCACGGACGCACGCACGGACGCACGGACGCCGCTGCTCTTGCTGCGACGCGTCGAAAGGAATTTCTCTGAGTTCTGGGCTCTTACGACCCGATGCGGCGCGAGGACGACGCGGAGGGGAGGGAGGGGAGAGGGGAGGACTGTGCGCTGGTGGCGTGGCACTGACGGAGTTGACTGCCTTGACCGCGTTGACGGCGTTGACGCTGAGCGAGCTGTTACAGCGTAAGCCGGTATACTGTCGTACGCGATTGCACGAGGGCTGTGCGACTTTAGCTTCTGTGCCAAGCACGTGGCGGCACGAGAGGGGTCGCGGCGCGCGAATCGGCGTGTGCTGTAGACCGCGCAAACACGGCGGCACGATGATGCGATGTCACGACGGCATGCGACGGGGACGGGATGAGACGCGATCCGATGCGATGGAATGAGATCGGTTGTGATCTAATGGGTTGCTGCAAGCCTTCCAGTCCGGCAAAAAGTTCCCGTCCCGTTCCGACCAGCACACGAACTGGGCCGTGGCCCGTGGGACGGACGAGGGCGGATGTAGATGCTGGAATGCGAGAGAGGAACAGCTGTTGTTCTGACTGCTGTGTGTAATCCCTGGCCTGGGGTGAGGCAAGTCAGGCAGGCAGCGTCGTCTTGACGCCAGTGGTGGAGAAGCATACATCCGTGGTCGCTATTGAGAAAGTCGTTACTAAGTCAGCGACTATAACCTTTTTAACGATACACGATTATTTACTTCCGTGATGTTGCTGGCGAAAGGTGTGGTGGATCAGCTCACGAAATTCGACATTTTGTTTCTTGATGGATTTGAATGTTGTTACAGGGTTGAGATGAGTGGCCTGTGTCGCAGTACGTGGCACTACCCGAAAGCGAGAACGTGGCGAAATTTTCGTCAACATCAATCAAGTACAGACGCGAAACATGTGCGACGGTTCGCGGGGCTTTGAGCAATGCGACGTTTCAATTAGACCGTGACACGGCTGGCATTTTGACGACTGTGCGCTAGTGGCGTGGCGTGGCGCTTGCTATTCCCATCCTCCCGCCTCCCCTCCCGTCCCTTCACCATCCCCTGGCGTACCTCACCCGCGCGTTCCCCAAATCTCCCTTGCTTCCTCTCTCTCCGGCGGGCTCCCCTTATTTCCCGGCTCCTCCCTTCTCCGCGCCATGCCCGAGCTTCCCGAGGTCGAGGCAGCTCGGCGCGCAGCGGAGGCGCATCTGGTGGGGCGGCGGATTCTGTCGGTAGTGGTGGCGGAGGACGCGAAGGTCCTGGACGGGTGCAGCGCGGAGGAAGTGCGCGCGGCGCTGCAGGGGCGCGTGGTGGTGGGCGCGGGGCGCAAGGGCAAGCACCTCTGGCTGCTGCTAGATCAACCGCCTATGCCGCTATTCCACTTCGGTACGGCTTGTGAGGCGCCGCGAGGTGACTTTTGAGTCGACTCAAACCTGAGCGTACGCGCGTTTCGGCCGGTGGCCTTCATCAGCGCGCTCTGGCTGTTGCTAGATCAACCGCCTATGCCGCTATTCCACTTCGGTACGACTTGCTGTTGCTAGAACAAGCGCTTCAAAAAGCACCTCTGGCTGCTGTTGCTGCTGGACCGGCCGCCCATGCCGCACATTTCCACTTCCGCACGCGCGGTGGGCGCGGTGGGCTCTCCTCCGCAGTGTCTGCTCCCACATCGTTTTTACCCGAAAGCTTCCCCCGCTCTCCCTCTTCCTCGCCATCCCCTCCCCTCCCCTCCCCTCCCCTCCCCTCTCCTCCCCTCCCGTCACACCTCTGCCCTCTTTTCCTTTCAAACCCATCACCCCGCCCCCACACCCCCCCTCCTTCCGCCGACTCCTCTTCCTTCCCCTTCTCCCCTTGCCCTACCTAAGTCCCGTCCAACCGCCCACCCGTCCACCCGTCCATCACGCTCCTGCATCCCTCATCCGCCCTGTCCGCAATCCGTCCTCGCTGCTCTCATCCCCCCCGTCGCCCCATGCGTGTGTGTGGTGTGGCATGGAGCAGGCATGGCGGGCGCGTTCGCCATCAAGGGGGAGAACGTCGTGCGCTACAAAAGGTAAACGCGTGTGCTGCGTCTGTCCCCACTGCCCACCACCGTCCCCCACCGCCCCCCACCGCTCCCGACAGCCCTCACCTCACCTTTTGTCACCGTCTCCCACCCACCAGCCACTCTGGTGCTGCCTATCTCCCTTTTAGAAATTCTACCCTCAAAAGACGCCCCACTAGCGCACCATCTGTGTGCATGAATGGCTGCTGCCACGCCGCGGTGCTACCACAGTGCTACCTACCTACCCTGGCCATGCCTTTACCATTTGCATTGCACCATTTGCCCACTCACACTCCTTCTCCACCACCTCTCCTCCTCCCCCCCACTCCCCATCCCCTTCCGCTTCCACTTCTGCTTCCACCCCCATCTACCCGCTTTCCCCTCTCCGCCCCGTTCCTCATGTGCACCTACCATGGGGCGCTGACAGGCTGGCAGTGTCGCCAGCAGACGAGTGGCCGCCGCGGTTCCACAAGCTCGTGCTGCAGGCAGGTGGCGTCTGGGGCAGGTGGCATGTGGGTTCCGTGCCTGCAGGAGGATCCATGATGTCTCACGCACTTGAGCACAAACCACACGCCCACATTTCCAGTATTTTGACTCACATGGACCTTGCTCTTCCTCTCCACCTCCCCCCCCTCCTCCCCCCCTCCTCCGCTCTACCCATCTCACCCTCTCATCCGCTCACCCTCTCTCCACCCATCCGCCTGTCGCCCCCGTGCAGGCGGAGGGCGGGGTGCAGCTGGCCTTCACCGATGCGCGTCGCTTTGGCCGCATCCGCCTCGCGCCTGATGTGAGCGCGTGGGAGGGAGGGAGGGAGGGTGGGAGGGGACTGGGAGCGTTGGGAGTTGGAGAGGCGAGGCGCTGGGAGGGGAGCGAAGGGGAAGAGAGGAGTTGGGTTGGGAGGGAAGGGTTCAGCGTAAACGGTTCCACCGTGCCCATCCCTCCCTAGCACACTCCCCATGTCAGCTCACATCCCATCCCATTCCATCCTATCCCATTCCATCCTATCCCATCCCGTCCCATCCCATCCCATCCCATCCCATCCCATCCCATCCCATCCCATCCCATCCCATCCCATCCCATCCCATCCCATTCCATCCCATCCATCCCATTCCACTTTGCACCAACCCCGTACATCCGCCCCCAACTCTCCTCCCTCTCCCCCTCCATTTCCCCAGCCCTTTCTGTGTGTGGCCCCCCGTGGCACAGGCCGCGCAGCCAGGCCCACACATGCTGCTCTCTGTCAAATGAGAGGAAGAGGCAGAGCTCTTATCTTGACGCGAATGAATCACCGTTTCCTTTCTTCGCTCTGCCTCTTCCTCTCCCGCTTTCCTCAACTCCGCCTCTGCCAACCCAGCCGTTGCTGTGCCCCCCTGTGGCGCAACTAGGTCCCGACGTGCTGCTCTCTTTGCCCGATCCCGTCTCCTTCGCCTCTCTCCTGCGCCGCCGCTCACGGGCAGTCAAAGCTTTGCTCATGGACCAGGTGGGTGGGGGGGGGGCTCATGGACCAGTTTTGAGAATTCTCAAAAGTGCTTTCAGCATAGGTTGGGGTCTCATGGACCAGTTTTGAGAATTCTCAAAAGTGCTTTCAACATTGGTTGGGGGCTCATGGACCAGTTTTGAGAATTCTCAAAAGTGCTTTCAACATAGGTTGGGGGCTCATGGACCAGTTTTGAGAATTCTCAAAAGTGCTTTCAGCATAGGTTGGGGTCTCATGGACCAGTTTTGAGAATTCTCAAAAGTGCTTTCAACATTGGTTGGGGGCTCATGGACCAGTTTTGAGAATTCTCAAAAGTGCTTTCAACATAGGTTGGGGGCTCATGGACCAGTTTTGAGAATTCTCAAAAGTGCTTTCAACATTGGTTGGGGGCTCATGGACCAGTTTTGAGAATTCTCAAAAGTGCTTTCAACATAGGTTGGGGGCTCATGGACCAGGTGGTTGGAGCTCGTGGATGATAGAATGGGCTCATAAACCTAGTAATGTCCAACGCCATCTCATGATCTCACGGGAATGCCGCTGTTGAGGATTCTCAGGGGTGGCGCAAGGGCAACACACCACGGCATGCACTTTTCAAGCCACCTCCTCTCTGGCCTGCGTCCCCTTCTCTCTCAACCGGTCCTATCTCTCTCCCCCTCCGCTCCTCCCTCCTGCCGCCACGAATTCTCTTCCTCTCTTCCTGTGTATGTGTGTGTGTGTGTGTGGGTGGGTGTGGGTGTGGGTGTGGGTGTGGGTGTGGGTGTGCATGTGTGCATGCGTGCATGCGTGCAGGCAGTGCTGAGCGGCATTGGCAACTGGTTGGCGGATGAAGTGCTGTACCAGGTGAGCGAGCCGAGCAATGGAGGGTTGGTTGCCAGGAGGTGATTGTTGAGTCGACTCAAAAAGCATCACAAGGAACTGGTTGGCGGATGAAGTGCTGTACCAGGTGAGTGAGCCAACCAGTGAGCAATGGACGGCTGCTTGCTTGCTTGCCAGTGCACTGCCACTAATCAATCTACCACATTATTCGTGCCTTCTCTTCTTCATGTGTGCGCTACCATTACTCTACTCCACCTCCACCTACCCCTACCCCACTGGGGTCAAGCTTCCCTGCTATGCATCCCCTCATTCCTCATTTCCCTTCTCGTCCCACGTGCGTCCCTCATCTTCTCTTACCTTTCTTAAACACCACCACCCCCTCCTCCTTGCCCACTCCTTTCTGCCATGCCTAACACTCCCTCCCCTCCTCCTCCCCTGCTTCTTCTTTTGAGTCGACTCAAAAGCCGCTCCTTTCTGCCGCTCCTTTCCACTCCCTCCCTTTCCTCCCCCCCCCCCTACTCCTTCCCAGCTCCCAACCGCCCCCTTTCAATCCTCACCCATTGCCCTCCCCTCCAGCGCACAATTTTCAGTTTCTTGCAATAGTCTAATACTTGGTAACGGTTATCCCTGTGGTCAAGTTAACAGTATCCCTATAGTACCAAGCCTTAGGCTTACCCATTTCCTCCCCCGATGCCCTCCCCTGCCCCCCGTCTCTTCCCCCCATCAGTCACGATTGCACCCAGAGACCCCCTCCGCACTGCTCTCAGATGTGCACTGCACCGCTCTGCATTCCTCCATTCAGCAGGTGGGTTGGGGCACGCACAGCACCGCTCTGCACCCCTCCATGCAGCAGGTGGGGGGGGGGGGGACGTGGGGGGCACCGGCAGGCATTCGACAGGACTTGGGCGAAGGACATAAGATGCTTCTTCCTCCCCATTCATCACGTGAGCTTGGGCTGGGCGCGTCAGGAGCACCAAGCAACGCAGCATCGCATCGCCTCCTCACCGCGGCACACGGCACACGTCACGTGACACAGCATCATGTTCTAGCAACACCTTCACCATCACACTGCTCTCAACTATCCTCCTCCTGCCCTCTCTTCCCACGCCCACCTCTCCCCCTCCCTCTTCTCCGTTCCCTTCTGCCTGCAAATGCCCCTCCCTCCCCCCCCCCCCCCCGCCCATCAGGTGATCAGCAAGTCCGTGGCAGTAGACGCGGACAGTGACCGCTTCCCACCCTCCTGGCTCTTCCATGTGCGCTGGTCCAAGAAGCCCGGCTCCATCGATGGTACGTTCTCCCTCGCTCGTACCTACAATCTCACTTGCTGTTGACATAGCGCGTCAAGGTTGACAAGCCTCGATTATTTAGGGCTTTAAAGCTCTATGTTGACAATCAGGTTCTGGTCCATCGTGACTCGCTTTGACACGTCTCAGAAGTTCACCAAGCGAGACGCGTTCACCATCAAAGTTCGTTCTTTCCGTTCCATCTTCACTTCCTTTCCTTCACGTGCCTCTTCTAGATGCCGTGTAAAGGCCACCATCTGCCCAACCCAAAGTCTTGTCTCTACCGTGCATCTCTCCTTGTGACGCTCTCCCTCAGCATCTCTCTGTTGTGCTCTCGCCCCAACTCCCACAACTCTTTCTGCATCAACCCATCCACTCAGCTTCATCGCCGTGGCTGGCCGGGTATGCTGCCTTTTATTCTCACCCTCTTCCGTCAATTTCCGCCTCCCCAAGATCCTTCCCTTCTGCCCCCACACCCCACTCTTCTCTGCAGGCCATCCGCTCAGATTCATCACCGTCGCTGGCCGGATATGCTCCCTTTCGGTCCACCCTTCGACTTCTCATTCACCCTCTTCCATGGATTTTATTTTTCCCATGTTCGTTCCCTTCTGCCCTCACATCGCTCACTGAACTGCAGGCCATCCGCTCAGCTTCATCACCGTCGCTGGCCGGGTATGCTCCCTTCCACCCTTACCCCCTATCACTCCCCCCCTAGACTCTCGCTCCTCTCTATCTCTCTCTCGTTCTCCCTGTTCTGAAACAGCACGAGTTGATGGAAGTAAGGCCTCCGCAGCCCACCTGTCCTCCTTTGACGACTCTCGCTCCTCTCTATCTCTCTCTCGTTCTCCCTGTTCTGAAACAGCACGAGTTGATGGAAGTAAGGCCTCCGCAGCCCACCTGTCCTCCTTTGACGACTCTCGCTCCTCTCTATCTCTCTCTCGTTCTCCCTGTTCTGAAACAGCACGAGTTGATGGAAGTAAGGCCTCCGCAGCCCACCTGTCCTCCTTTGACGACTCTCGCTCCTCTCTATCTCTCTCTCGTTCTCCCTGTTCTGCCTCTTGCCGCTTGTGCCTGCCTCACATGCGATCGTGACTAACATGTAGCGAGCGACTATACCACCAAAACCAAGAGGCAGCCACTGTGCCGGCAGCCACTGTTCTGGCAGCCACTGTGCCGGCAGCCACTGTTTTGGCAGCCACTGTGCCGGCAGTGCATAAGCTGTCTTCCAAGGCCACTTTCGAGTGTGTCCTTTGCCCTTCCTCCCGTCGTCACCCTTTCTCTCCCCCACTCGCCGTCATCTGTCAGACGTCAGCCATAGTGCCAGCAGTGCAGAAGCTGCCTCGTGAGGCCCTTTCAGAGTGTTTCTTGTGCCACCACCCTTCTCCCCATATCACCCTTTTTCCCTCCGCTCGCCCTTACCTGCCAGACTTCAGCCATCGTGCCAGCAGTGCAGAAGCTGCCTCGTGGGGCCAAGGCTGCCTCCTCCGCAGGCGTTGCTGAGAGCGGGGCGGGGAGGAGCCTGAGGAGGAGGAGAGATGGAGAGGCAACGGCAGTGGCGGCAGAAGCAGGCAGGGCGAATGGGCGTAGTGCAGAAGGTGTGGTGGGGAGGAAGGGGCGTCGTGGGAGAATGGGTGGGAGGGATGAGAGGCAAGTAGAGGAGGAGGACGAGGAGCAAGAAGAGGAGGAGGAGGAAGAAGAAGAGGACAAGGAAGAGGCAGAGGGAAATGAAGAGGAGAAAGAGGAGATGGATGAGGAGGAGGAAGGTGACGCTGTAGGCAAGAGAGGAGAGACGAGAAGCAAGGTCAAGACCGGGCGTGTTGTTTTACGAAAAGGGTCCAACACAAAGAACAGCCGTAGGCGAGCAAGAGGGGATTCTGAGGGGACAGGAGCAGTCGTTGCGGCAAGGGCAGCAAAAATCCGAGTGGGTCGGCGAAAGCGAGAGGAAAGGGAGGAGGAGGAGGAGGCAATGCAGGATGAGGAGAGGATCCAGAATGGAAATGGGAGTGAGAGTGAGGATGGGCGGGGACAGGAACAGGAACCCGCTGGTGAAGCTGGAGCTTCAGAGCAGAACGGTGCAGACCGCGTTGGAAGGAGCATAGGTCAGACAAGTGAGGTACCGGTTGTCAACGAGTCTGGTGAAGACGGCGTTGCAGCAAGGGCAAGAGCAGCGCTACCAGCACGAAGGGCAAGATCTGCAACAGCAGCCACCCCAGCAGCAGCAGCTGCTGCAGATGTGACAGCAATTGCCACTGGTAGAGGGAAGCGAGGTAGGCGTGCTGTTTCCACTGGCATACCTGCTGCACCTGCTGCTACTGCCACTGCAGCACCATCGACAGGTGCAGGGCAAGGGACAGGGGCAGGGCCATTGTCAGTGGTGGAGGCTACGGAGGAGGTGAAGGCTTCAGTGGTGGGGTTGAGTGGAAGCGGTGGTGGTGCTATGACTGTGACTGTGACTGCCATGGGTACAGGCAGGGTGACCAGACAAGCAGCCAAGCGCCAGCGCAGTTGATCTCATACCCACAGAGCACATGTGTATGTTGCTGCAATTGCGCATGCATGACGCACCTTCAGTGTTGTCAATCACTGTTAGTGCTTGTTTAGTGATGTATGTGTCTCTATCTGGCTCTTTTGGTCTCATTTTTTCACCAGCAGATGTGTGCATACCAGTACCTGCAATGGTAAACAGCATTTTTGGTCTGCAGGCGGCACTCACCTTGCTGCATTGCCAGGGCTCTACATTTCATTCCACCTCCCTCTGTGCTTCCCATGTTCCTGGTACTTGTCCGCAACCCTCCTGGGCTGTGCGCAGGGGGGTGTTGTGCAATGCTGAGGAAGCTGTGCTGCAATGCAACACACAGAATGTGTGTTGGCACCTTCGTGCCACCCCCCACCTGCGTTCGCTCCTTTCCCCTCAAGTTTCGCGTCTATCATCAGCCGCAGCTAGCGTATCCACACATGTGGCGGTGGCAACATGAGCCATGTACAGGTGTAGTGCTGCAGATGACACATGTGCAGGGCACACATGTAATGCAACCGGCACAGATGACACGAGTGCACGGCACACGTGTAATGCAACCAGCACGTGTGCAGCGGGGCATGTGTTTGCCTGCCTCCTCCCTCCATGCAGTTGCTTCTTTTGCACTTCGACCATCGTCACTACTGCTGCTGCCTCTGCTTCGGGTGTTGTGACAGGCAGGCACGCCTGAAACACAACTGAGTTACCGGTATGGGACAAAATGGCCATGTGCCAAGTTGAACAGGGTTGTACGTAACTTGTAACGCTACCGATACGTGATACCAAGTTTGACGTGAAGGAGGAAAATGATGTCTGAAGTTTTATCTATGACATACCCTACCAACCATTGTTCTTGCCTCTTCAGAATGACCGATTTCAGGAAAACCTTTCAGGTACCATACTTCTGTTTACCGTATCAGCGAACCTAGCAAATTCCGGTCAGAGCCCAAAACACCAGCTACAGAACAGCCACACCAAATAGGGTGGCCCCACCAAAAGGTCCCCTCCCTCTTCTACCCTTTGCTCATCTGCCCCTCCGCAGTAATCCACCTCAAAACCATTCATTGAGGCTGAATGTCTGTTACCGTACCTCCCAACCCAACCCAGGCATGAGTGCATGGGGAAATAGTAAGGCAGGCCATGGGATGAAGAAAAGAGAGGGAGGAACGACTTACTCCATTCCTACAGCTCCCATCCCATCACAAGGCGAACGCTAATATGGTACCGCCGGTACCATTCCTTGCCTCTAGAAAATTGTCCAGGCACGCAGGGCAGTCAGGGCATGGACCATTCCAGGTGACTCGGAGATGACGAAGCAACGTGATGCGGATCCGGAGAGGAAAGGCGTTAGAGAGTGCAATGCAAGGCTGCAGTTTTTAGCGGACTCAAAAGTCACTCCGGAGAGGAAAGGCGTTAAGAGAGTGCAGTGCAAGGCTGCAAGCGGCACCACCGGTGGAGTGGAGAAAATCGAGGCAAGTGAGGCGGGAAGAATTTCACCAGTGTTAACCAAAAGTACCGCATGCGCTCCCTCGCTCACCAAAAGCACCACTTGGTTAAACTGGTACCTTGGCACCACAAAATGTTACTCATCCAAATTGAGGATCCTTAACACCGCGTTGAGATTTTTACCTACCGGCGCGGAGAAAGTGAGATAGGTTGTGCTGCGTGTGTTACAGTAGCACTGCTACTCCGACACATATCTCCCTATCTATGCACCGGTCTACTAACTGCGGTAGCCGGCGCTCTTGAGCGCAGGGAGGAGGTCGCGCGGCACTATGGGTTTGGCGACGACGCCATCCATGCCGGCCTGAGCACACACCCGCCGCACATCGCCGTCCACATCCGCTGTCAGCGCCACCACACACCACCGCCGCCGCCAGCCCCTGCTGCCTCCCGCATGAGCTTCACCCGCCGGGGTGTCACTTGCAGCGGCCTCCACCTCCATGGCTCGGATGCGCCGCACCGTCTCGTAGCTGCACGGGGGTGGGCCGACATGGCAGGGGGTTGCGCATGGTGGATTGTGCTTTGATGTTGCTGTTTTCTTGTGAAGATGTGTGGTTTAGAGACGAAGACGAAGCTGCTATCAGCAAAAGAGCAGCAGGCACATAGACTAGGCACATACAGAAAGAAACGATGAAGGGAGGACATGTGTACCACACGCACCCGTCCATGTCGGGCATTTGAAGGTCCAACAGCACAAGCGGCACAGCGCGCTCTGCCTCTGGCCCCTCCGCCTGCCACTGCTGCTGTTGCTGCTGCCCCAGCCCCTCCTGCCCGCCGCGGGTGGCAGCAGCCATGTGCTGGCGCAGCCAGTCCAGCGCCTGTGCGCCTCCCGCTGCCAAGTGCACGAGAGCCCCGAGTGCGAGCAGCGTGCGTCTGGCGACGGCGCGGTTGACAGCGTTGTCATCCACCACCACCACCGCCTGCTGCCCCACCAGCGCCCTCAGCTCCTCCTCCGGCGCCACGTGCCGCACCGCCAACGGGCTGAGCACTGCTGCTGGAGGTGGGTTGGAGGCACTTGGAGACAACAAGGCTGTGTCGTTGGGAAGTGGGGGCCCGAGGGAGCGACTAGGGGGTGGTGGGTGGGAGGCGCCGGCGAGGCAGAGGTGGTGGGTGTGGTTGGAGTGGCACTTTGGGTGCTGCCTCGCGGACTGGATGGCGGCCGCTCTGCAGTGCGAAAGAAGAGCTGCGTGAGAGAGATGAAGGAGGGGAAGGAATGGGAGGTTAAACCGCTAGCGCATGCAGATTGGGATGGAGAGCAGGAGATGATGGTAGGAAGCTTCATGTCAAGGGTTGCTGGCACCACCCTCTCCCGGCACTCACATGCTGCAGGCAGTGTGTGGTGTGAGTGACGAGCCATGGGTGCAGCAGCACAGCCGCAAACCCCATCCTCTCCGCCTGCTCGCTCTCCACACTGTCTGCCCTCGCCCCCGTCAGCACCACCACTGCCCGCCCTGCCTCTCGCCCTGCCTCGACCCCACCCTGCCGACCCTGGGAGCTTGTGGCAGCATCAGAAGCAGCAGCAGAAGCAGCGGCTGCATCAGCCGCGTGGCGCAGAATCTTTTCGCCCACGTGGAGGCCTGTGCGCGGGCCAGCAACGTCCACGTCTACTAGCACCACGTCCCACCCTCCTCCCCCTGCATCACCACCACCGCCGCTGCCGCTGCCACCGCCACCGCCACCGCCGCTGCCGCCGCCGGTGGTGGTGGTGGTGGGTGGGTGGCGCATGAGGCGCATGGCCTGTGCGGGCGAGGCTGCCAGAGTGACCTCCATTCCCAGGTAGTGCAGACACGCCTCCGTTGCCTGGTGGCAGCACGCACAGCAGCAGCGGTCATGAAATGAAGGGAAAGAAACCGAGAAGGAGGAGGGAAGCACTCCAGGAGCAGATAAAGCTACCAATGAAGCATGGCCAATGGCTGATGGCATGATGCAGCAATAATAAACACACACATGGGGATCGTGCAATGCACCTGTGCTCTGAGCGGCATGGCATCAACTCACCTGCGCTCTGAGCGGCATGGCATCCAGCAGCAGCGCTGTCTTGCCCGCCACAAGAGAGCAGATGGCCTTGCGATGATCCACCCACTCCTGCACCTCTGCACTCGCACCCCGGCCCGCCATCCCACCACCACAACCGCCACTACCACCGGCATCAGCAGCAACAGCACCAGTTTCTGACAGATGGCAGGCGGCCATTGGAAGGCTGATGAGGATGGTGGTACCCACATGGTGCTGCGTTGCTATTCCCATGGTCCCCCGCATTAGTTTCACCTGCCATCCACATGTACAAAACCACACGCACATGCATACGCGCGCGCGCGCGCGCACACACACATGATGAGGCACATGAACCTCTTCAGTAGTTAACGTTGTGGATAGATGCTACTGGCGCATGTCAGTGGTGGCATGTGAAGCATGCAGTAGAACAAGAATATGGCATGGTGGTGTGTGAAGAGTAGTGCATGCCCGAGTCCCAACGTGCGATGCAATCACCAGAGCAAGGAGGGCAATCAGCACAGCAAGGAGGGCAATCAGCGTGTGGGCAATGCAGGTGTGCACGGATGTAAGGCTTCACTGACCAGGCCTGTGGAGAGCAGGAAGCGAACGGGGTAGGGCTCCCATGCAGGCGCAGAGGAGGGCTGAGAAGGAGGTGCAGCAGAGCCGGGCCAGAAGTCCACGGAGCGATGCAGGGCAGACATGGGCGACACAAGTGGCGCCTCATTCTGGAGAGAGGTGAGGGGGGAAAGGAAGAAAGCACAGATGGAGCGAGATTGAGACGCCTCAAAACATGTGAGGAAGGCAGTGATTGGAAGGCAGTGATTGGGAGGCAGTGATTGGAAGGAATCGTGGGGCATGGCATGACATGGCATGGCATGGGTCGCAGCACGCACCATGCGCCCTTTATTAGAAACTCCCCTTTGCAGCAACGAATCTCCTCTGCCCTGCACTGCTGCCCGCCCCTCTGGGTCCAGCACCCACTGCAGCTCCTCCGGTGATATACCACCACCCGTGTCCTCACACACCATCACCACCAGCAACCCCCCTCTGCCCGCCCCTCCCTCTCCTCCCCCCGCTCCCTCTTTACTGTCCCCTTCCTCTCCGCGTGCCTCCCCTTGATGAACTTCTCTGTTCATGGGAAACAGGATGAGTGGATGCAGATGGGGCAGAGGGGGCAGAGGGAGCAGAGGGGGCAGAGGGAGCAGAGGGGGCAGAGGGAGCAGAGGGGGCAGAGGGAGCAGAGGGGGCAGAGGGAGCAGAGGGAGCAGAGGGAGCAGAGGGAGCAGAGGGAGCAGAGAGAGCAGGTGCACCACCATCACCGCCAGGGCTTTGCGACCCGGACTCAGCCCCCCTTGACCCAAGCAGTCGGTTCTTCACACACCTCCAAAACACTGACTGCCTCCACCCCCACCATGCGGACGGCACTGCTGGCTTTGTCTTGCGTTCCTTCTGTTCTGCCCCTCCATGTCGCTCATTCCTACACCCCTCCTCAACATCATCAGCCGCATCAGCAGCAGTGTCAACGGCCGCACACACGACAGAGCCATCGCTGAAGCGACTCACACACCCCTCCAGTTCTCGCAGCAGTGCTCGCATCTGCCCCACCTCCCTCTCCGCCTCCTCCCTGCCTTCCTCTCCCCCAGGTTCGCTGTAGTCTACTCCTGCCCCACCTCCCTCCCCATCGCTGCTTCCCTCTCCTGCTGCAGCTGCAGTTGCTGCTGCCGCCTTGGCTGATAGAATGGTGCCACTGCCCCCACTTCCCCCACTGCTGTCACTGCCACCACTGCATTGGCGGCAGGCCTCATCCAGCCATGATGCAAGCCATGCCTTACACTGCACTCCGCCTTCCCCACCCGCTGAGCCTGATGCTGCCGCCGCCGCCGCCGCAGCAGCAGCATGTGATGCCGCAGCAGAATTCAAAGGTGCAGCAGCATGTGATGCCGCAGCAGAATTCAAAGGTGCAGCAGCAGCATTTGATGGGTCGGCAGCAGCTTGTGAAGGCGTCATGGCATCAGCAGGCGCGGGTGTGGTGAGAGGCGGGGTGAGGGGCGAACACCCAAGGGTGCTGGGAGAGGGCATGGGGATGCACAACACTCTAAACGCCACATGGCCTGATATGGTGGTGCGGATGGCATGACCTGATGGCAGGGATGGGTGGAGCAAAACACAGGGCAGGGCACAGTAGTGAGGGATGCGACTGAAACGAAGATACATGTGAATCGAGCACAACTCAAATGTAGAAACAAACAAGCACAGAGCAGCATCAGCAACAGCATCACAATAACAGCGACAGCACAAGTGACAACCGCAGCCACAGCAACAGTGAGGAAAAAGTGGAAGGACAATTAACAGCACGGCATGAGCAGAAAAGCACAAGGCGGAGCGGAGAGATGCTATGGTGTGTGGCAGCACTCACTGATGAGCTCCCTGACAACTTGAGCGAGGCGCAGCGGATCACCCAGCAGCACCTCGGGCACACTGCAGTCCACCTGGCACACCACTGGACATAGGCATGGTATGAAAAGGAGGGGATTCGGGTACCTCATATTCTCAGTGACAGAGGTTATGACTTAAATCTGAAGGGAACTTGGTTGGGTAGCCAAGGCATTATTAGTGGACCAATGAGAATGGTCACCAAGTAAAGCTTTGGGCTCGCCGCCAATGACTCGAAGAGGCCAATAATGGTTGGGATAAACCAGCCAAGTGGTTCCCCCCATGAAATGCGATCAACGGGGTTTCCGGTACCCCCAACCAGAATTGGATGGGGCGCCTTGGCCCAAAGTGTAAACCCAGATTTGGGTGTTACAATTGCACGACAATAACACAGTTGTGCTAGATTCCAACGGGCCGCAGAGCTGAACATAACCTTGAAGCTTCCCATTTCATGCAGATGAGCCGTGCTGCTGGCTCACCCACCTGTCCGTGCATATCTCCCAACCCAACCCATCTTGGTAACTCTTGCAACTCGCAATCCCAGGGCAAACATCGAACGGACTCACTGTGGACGCCCCTCTTGCAGGCCTCGGGCAGCAAGTCGCGGGCGACCATGTCAACGCAGTGGTGCAGGGAGAGCGGGAGAGTCTCGAGGGAGAGGCGGCCGGCGTGCAGCTTGGCGAGGTCGAGCACGGAGTTGAGTTGCCCCACGATGGCTGCTGCACACTCCTTGGCCACTGCCAGGTCCCGGTGCTGCCCCCCCTGTAGCTCGCTCTCCAGTAGCGCCTCCATCATTCCTTGGGGGGAGGAGGACGTGAGGTGGGGGTGATTGGGACAGTGGAGGGGAAGGCAGATGAGAAAGTTGAGAGCTGTTGCCCCCCCTGCAGGTCGCTCTCCAGTAGCGCCTCCATCATGCCTGGCAGTCGATGGGAGAGGAGGAGGTGCGGGTGGTTGGGATCGGAAACGAAAGCAGAGGTGAAGCGTCCATCATGCCTTTGGGGGAGGAGGAGGACGTGAGGTGGGGTTGGTTGGGAGTGGGACAGGGGAGAGGAAGACAGAGGACAGAATTTGAAAGCTGTTGCGGCCCTTGCATTTCGCTTTCCAGTAGCGCCTCCATCATGCCTGGTGGGGAGGAGGAGGTGAGAGGCGAGAAATGGGAGCAGAGGGAGATCGAACATGACCCAGTGCCGCATAACATGTTGGCACCAACCTAGCATGCCCACGATGGGAGTGCGCAGCTCGTGCGAGAGGTTGGCCACAGTGTGGCTCTTGGAGCGCTGGGCGCGCTCAAGCACAGCAGTGCAGAGCTCCACCTCCCTCACGGCACAGCTGATGGCCGCCTGCTTGCGCGCCAGGAACACCACGATCAGCGTCAACAGCAACGCCACCAGCGCCACCAGCACCGCCACCAACACCGGCGCCCACACCAGCCGCCACGCACTGCCGCTGTCCAGGAACCTGGTGAAAATTAACCGGGATGAGCAGTTCGAGGGCACAAGACATGGAAGTGAATACTGAGAAGCTAGCGCTGTCCAGGAACCTGGTGGATATTGACCGAGAGTGGAAGTTTAAATGCAAGGGAGTGGACTGACAACCTGCCACCAGAAACCAGAAGCACAGAGCTGCAACAAACCAGAGCCACTGCGGGGACGTGAAATGGAGAGAGAAGGCCTTTAAAGTTTTGCTATTCCACTATGACCTAGCATACCTGCAATGGACTTCAAAGGTTCGAGAACAGAAGGGCTCCGGGAAGGGTTGAACTTCCTTGTCGCCCGGTGGAATGGTCGCAGGGTCGAGAAAGGCCGATAATATGCCGCTTCCCTTGCGGATGAGGTTGGCACTGAACATGAGCACAGGGGAACTCCCATCCGTGACATCGTATAGATCAAACGAGTACTTGTTGGTTGCTGCACAAACACACACGCACGCACGCACGCACGCACGCACGCACGCACACCCACACCCACCCACACACACACACACACACACACACACACACACACACACACACACACACACACACACACACACACACACACACACACACACACACAGGCACCGAGGAACGAGAGGTACATCATCGTAAGGACAGACAGGTGGGCACACAGCGTAGGGAGACACTCATCGCGCGAGCACTCTGGGGCCTGGGCCTCTCCGGTCAAAATCGGCGCTGCAAGTATTGTTTTTTCTCCTAAAGGAAGCAGCTGCAGCAGCAGCAGCAGTTGATGGCACTTTGGTGACAGCAGCAATGCGCAGCATGCACAACCCAGCAACTCCAGTCATCCTCTACAGAATGTCTCCCTTCCACTCTCTGCTGCTGTGGTCAACACCCTCTCCCCTCTCAGCAGTCATGTCGCTCTTGACTCGACTCCGACTAAACTCACTCTGGTTGAGCACGTCCATAAGGGCATAGAAGATGAGCGTCTTCGTATCGATTGCCCCGGCCCCGGCAATATAATTACTCAGCTCCTGAGTCAAAAAACAATCATCTATCTCCTGAGTCAAGTCCACTCCAGACTCACTCTGGTTGAGCACGTCCATAAGGGCGTGCGAGATGAGCGTCTCCGTATCAATTGCCCCGGCAATGAATCCGGCCATCTTCGCTCTCCCTTGCTCCATGGTAACATGCGTGGTGAATGGTGAGCGCACGATGGGGATGCCGTACACTGGTGGGAAACATGGGTGGGAATTAACAGTGGAATGTAGAGGTATGGTGCAGAGAAGAGGTCAGAGAACGGACAGATGGAGATTTAATTAAGGAGGGAGGGAGGCAGAGTGTGGGGAGAGCAGAAAAGGAGGACAGTAGGGCTCGCGGAATGAGGAGGGGGATGGAATAAAATGCGCATGCGGCCTACATTGATCGGTATAATGCAATGGCAAACACGGGAGACGGGAATGAACAGGAACTGTCAAACGGCCAAGTGTGACGACACATGCCGAGGCGAAGCCGGAGAGGAGAAAACAGCGGGACAGAGTGTGCAGGAGACCGAGAAAGAGCACGGGAGAGTACACGGGAAGAGCAACGGAACGGAACGGACCTAACCCAATGTGTTGAGTCGGGAACAAAACCGGGGGCATAGCAGCACGTTCGCCCGTGCGCAGAAAGTGGTCTACAACAGGCGGATACACCGTGTATACGTTGGTGCACGGGGGGAACTCGTAGATGGGGAAGCGAAAGATGGTGACTGCGTAGAAAGGAGCTGCAGGGGCCATGGATCCCAGCAGCGTCTTGACTGTACAGTTGAGGATTTGCTCGAACACCGGACTGAGAGACGCACGAGAGGGAGGGGTGGAGCAAGGGAAAATGGAAGAGGACGGACAGGGGAGGTGAAACAAGGCGTGATGCTCACAGGTTCAGTTCAGGCACTGCTGCTGTTGTACTGAGCTTTGGCAGCTTATGCATGCCTGAACTGAACGCGCTTACAGTCGCAATGGAGGTGGGTGCTAGGCTGCTGCTCGGGGAACCACAACAGCAGCATGCGTTGCAATGGAGGTGCTATAAAATGGGGCAGGATGGTCGCTTCAGGTGTGTGCTTTAAGAGGCCAGAATAGGAATGAATGGAAACAACCTTGGCAAGACTTGTGACTACAGCGAAACCAGGACTTGCAAAAATTCCCAAAAAATTGCTATATCTGTAGAGTGGTGGGGAATGAGTAGGAATCCCCGTTCCTAAGCAGACTTCTGTTAGCGAATAGATTACGATACTGAAAGTGAAGGGAAGGATGCGAGAGAGCAGTGAGAAGAAGGAAGCAACTATTAGACAGGTGCGGATTGCGGAGGGTGTGTACCGTTCTTCGTGGGTGATACAGACGGCCCACGTGGTGAGGGACCATGGCTGGATGCGTTGAATCCACTGCTCGCTGAACGCGATCCACGTGGCGTTGGTTATGTAGCCCTTGAGGCCCCAGTGGGCGGGCGTGTTGGGAGCGTTGGAGACCCCGTTGAACGCCTTGACCAGCCCCGCCAGGATCTGGGGGACGGAGCGAGGCAGGAGAGGATTTGGGGGGGTTTGGGAACAAAGCGGATATTTGAGGAGCATGAAACATGGCCCCAGTAAAAGGGGGCGCTGGGTGCGTTGGAGACCCCGTTGAACACCTTGACCAGCCCCGCCAGGATCTGGGACGCGGAGAGAAGAGAAATTGATGAATTGCGCGGGTTTGGGAAGACTAAGCGAGCAAACGGCGCAAAGGATGCTCGCCGGTGGCGACTCGCCGGATTTTGATGACGAGTTCCGGCCCTAGCGGTGACTCACTGCTATCTAAGGCGCGACGCCAGACACGCGGCTCGCGATCAAAGATCCGGCGGCACTGCGGCAGTGCCAAGCGAGGTTTAGGAATAGAACGAGCCACGATCTTTGGAGGTAATTATACTAACGCTCCTTTACTAGAGAGTGACTGGCAAGTGTCAAGCTGTGGAAGGGGCGAAGCCATCGAATTGACTGGGGTGGGTGTCGGGAGAGTCCAACGCCTGCTATGATCACGAGTCACAAACTACGACAGGCCCACCTCTATTTGGTTCAAACTTGACACGAATTCCTGGTGCACGTATCGCATTCGAGCCGCGCACCACGTGCGGAGATCTTCTTTGCGCGGGTTATCGGCGGCTTGCCACGTGAACCACGCCGTCCACACCGCGATCGTCAGCCAACCGAGACACCACGCGACAAGCGCCAGGCGACGCCATAGTAACTGCATCACTTCGAACCTCCAACCATGCAACCATCCACATCCACATCCACATCACTAGTTCTTTCCGATGATATCCACATCATATCCGTGTCAACGTCTTTTTAGTCATGAGTTCGAATTCGCTGAAAACCCAACCCAAGCGTAATAAAGGGTGTACGAATCGTCTTCACACGCACAACATCGCATCCCACCGTTATAAACTAGACTCACATGACACGCCCTTGCAACATCGTGACACTCAACAGTACAGTGGGTTCGGTTCCCCAATCGAACGGCGTCTGTTCATTAGGACGCGTCACATTTGAAAAACCGAGGAAGGTTCGGGGATTTTTATCGAACCTACCAAATCGATCGCCACATCGGTGTGCCACGACTGAATTTTTGCAATCGCGGGCCCACCGCAAGTCCCAAGTGACACGTTCGGAAAATCATGGGGCAAAATTACCCGATGTGGACGAAATTGCAAGATCGATGTGTGACAAGGGCACATCGATCGCCCGACTCCGAGGGGACAACTGTACAATGGCGACGGATGACGAATAACGGTAACCAACACTTAACGACGTCTGGAATGCGAAACACAATCTTGTGCAGGTTCGATGTTTCACTTGTAACGCGTCCTTATGGGACTAGCTGGTACACCTGACGCTCTTTTCACTTCCACGTTTTGTTCAGGCTACCGGTAAGTGCTCTTTGCTCTCACAATCTTCATTTAGGGAGTGTCCAGCGCGTTCATTTTGAGAATTTTAGTGCCCACACACGTGTCGGGGTACAAAACTGATCGCTGTACCTAAAAACGAATGCTCTATGAGCCGAGTCCACAGTTCCTCGAATGTTTCTGCTCGACAGAATCTGGTCGACGAGCTCTGGTCGACGATCTCTGCGCGATGAGCTCCCGTCGAAGAGCGCTGGTTGAGGACCTTGATCGATGAACTCTGGTCGAAGAGTTCGGGTCGAGGAGCTCTGCTCGACGAACGTTGTTCGGCCGATCGATGCCGAACTCATCGATCGAAGTTGCAGAGTTCTGCGAAACTCTGCGGAGGTGTGCGAACATTCGCCCAGGAGATGTTTGGCGAAGTTCTACCTGCAGAACAGCATCACGTGGTCGACGGTGCGCACCTGGCGAAACCGACACCTGCGCAATGTGCCTGACGGTGAAACCGCCAACCTGCTGTTAAGATACTAGCACAAGTGGTAGTTAAGTTTAGGTAGGGCCTAGGCTTAGTAGCCTAGGCCAAGGGGAGTCGAGAGGGTTGTGGCAAGGAGAAGTGGGAATGATGCAATATGAGAAACAAGTACAAGTTATAGTTCAAGAAGGGTGCACCACCAAGCAAGAACAAATGTATGACTACACTACAGCTAGAACTACATGCAGTTATATATAATTCTGACATCCCCCCGTAACTGCATGCAGGAATAGCTAAGTGAAAGACACAACCTGCAGGGGTACACCACAGACAGAGAAAACAGCAACAGCAGGCAAGGCAGCAGAACAGGTTCGGCAGCAAAGGGGCAGCCGACAGCAAGGCACTTCTGCCACCCCCTTACTCTCCTCCCCCCCCGACCACAGGAGGGGCGGCAGGGAGAGAGAGGAGGCGGGCTGGCGCTGGCTGGTCACCCCCTCCATCCCCTCACCCTCCCCCTCCCCCTCCCCCCCACACTACTGCAGGAGCAGCAGAGGGGGGAAGAGAGGAGAGGTGGAGGGACGGCTGCTGGTTGGTCTCACACCCGCCACCCCAGTGCCACTCCCCCGGCTCCCCCACACCCTCACACCCTTCCCCCCAGCGGCAGCTGCAGCAGTGGGGACAAAAGGAGGAGGAGGGGAAGAGAAGCACACCACCCATCACCCCCACACCCGCCACCCCCATACCCTCCCTCCCACGGCTGCAGGGAGACGAAGGAGGAGGGGGGGGGCGGGGAGAAAGCCGCAGAGCGGCTACAGAGGGTCGGCGCGGGTAGGGCAGGGGCGGCTGCAGCGAGTGCAGGCGCGGGGTTAGGCAGAGGCGGCTGCACCGAGTGCAGGAGCGGGGGCGGCTGCTCCAAGGGCAGGCGCTGGGTGGTGCAGGGGCGGCTGCACCGAGTGCAGGCGCGGGTGAGCCAGGGGCACCGTCGCGGGCGCCGGGGGCGGGTCCGCGGCGGCTCAGGGCACTATCGCGGGCGCCAGGGGCGGGTCCGCGGTGGCTCAGGGCACCGTCGTGGGCGCCAGGGGCGGGTCCGCGGCGGCTCAGGGCACCGTCGCGCACCACGGGGCACGCGACGGGCAGTTCAAGGCACCGTCGCGTGCCACGGGGCGCACGACGGGCAGGGCACCGTCGCGTGCCACGGGGCGCATGACGGGCAGGGCACCGTCGCGTGCCACGGGGCGCACGAAGGGCAGGGCACCGTCGCGTGCCACGGGGCGCGCGACGGGCAGAAAAGATGTCACGCGCCACCCGGGCGCGGGACAGGACGAAAATCGCCACGCGCCCGAGGCGCGCGACCGGAAAAACAGCAGCGGAAGCGTGAGGCGGGCCCACAGGCCTGGACTTAACAGTCTCTGATTCCATGTTAAGATACTAGCACAAGTGGTAGTTAGGTTTAGGTAAGGCCTAGGCTTAGTAGCCTAGGCCAAGGGGAGTCGAGAGGGTTGTGGCAAGGAGAAGTGGGAATGATGCAATATGAGAAACAAGTACAAGTTATAGTTCAGGAAGGGTGCACCACCAAGCAAGAACAAATGTATGACTGCACTACAGCTAGAACTACATGCAGTTATATATAATTCTGACACCTGCACCTACTTGGTATATGTGGTAGGTGTGCACATATGCGCAGATAGACTACCTGCGACTGCAGATAGTTACCTGCGACAGCAGATAGTCACATGCGACTGCAGCGCTGGCAGAACGTGCACGATGCAACGTTGGCAGATCACTCTGCTGCAACGTTGGCAAGCCGCTCTTCTGCTGCGCTGGCAGATTTCGCCCTTGCTAGGTGTTTCATGCCATTCTAGTCCTTTGTTCTGCATGCCTCAATTGTACTATAAACTTTTCATAGCAAGTTGTTCCTTTCAATTCCTTGGTGGAAACTCTTGCAAACTTTCTCTGTGAACACAGCAAGAAGTAGGAACGCTAGTGCACAACTTCGATCACTCGCACAACTCCGTGCCCTCCACCGTAGTCCACTCCCGTTGTGTAGTGAATCTCCGCATGGTGCGGTGAGCGTGGACGGCCCCGCGTTAGAACCTTCAGATAGCCGACTTCTGCGTTCATTACCTAAGTTGTTGTTAGGTCGGCAGCCGTCTTAGTCGCCATGGTCGACCCCGTGGTCGAAGCAGGTGTAGAAGTTACCCTGCAGGCGAGAGAGGCTGGTCTTCGGGCACGCCACGAGGCTGGCGGGTACGGCGAGGCGGACTTGGAGATTCTGCTCCTTGGAACTCGTGCGCAGTGGGCGCGTGAGCATCGTCCTCCTCGTGCAGAAGCGGACGGCGCGTCTGCCTCTCCCCGACCCGTGCACAACGAAGGCGATGGCGGAAATGTTGTCGGCGGTGGAAGCACGAGGGTTCGCGGAGTGATTTGGCCCGCCGATGTCAGAGTTGGCGGAGTGCAGGCGCAAGTGCTACGATCATCTGCGACTGGAGGCAGCTCGAACGGCAACGTCGGCCCTCTGCGGAGTGGAGCCAGGCCGGCTTCTGCGACTCATGCGTCGGCTGGTCGAGACGGAGGCATCGCGCCGGCATACGGATATTTTAAATTTTCGCCGGACAAGATCGTTGTGCCGAAGCTACTGGAAGGTCGACATGCCTTAATCACGTGGATTGAATCCATTGAGCCTCAGCTGGAGATCGCTGGATTGAAGAAGTTCGTCGACGGAACTGTTCTGGCGTCGGACGAGGAGGAGGTAGAGCTCTGGTCAGAATTTCGCGCTGCTCATCTTCTGACATTTATGGTCATTTTGAGGTGTTGCTCGCCTCTGGTGTAGGTCGCATTGACGTCGTGCAGACAACGAGTGGATGCTGGCTACCAAGCGTGGCAGTACATCATGCGCACCTACAAAGCGACCGACGACCTCTACATCAGTCAACTGGAGAAGAAGTTGACCAAGATTCGGATGGGGGAGGAGGAATCGGCGACCGAGTACTGCAATCGAGCGTGGCGAGTCTTGGCCGATCTGCGGATGGCCGGCGTAGACTACTCGGTGGCGTCGTATGTCACCCATGTCATCAGCGGCCTCCCTTCGGGCTACAATTCGATGCATCGAATGCTGACAATCCCTGGGACGCGCGAGACTTTGAACAAGGACTCGCTTTCGAGCCACATCATCCAGGACGAGTTTATGCAGGAGTCTGAGCGACCTGCAGAACTGCTTCCGCAGGCCAACTACGTCGCCCCGGCGAAGCAGGGACGCCAACAGGGGCAGCGTGGGAAGTCTGCCAGAGGCGGTGGCTGGAAGTCATCGACCGCGAAATCGACGGAGGGCGCCGACCGCGGGAAGTCGGCGAAAGGTGGAGATCGCGGCAGCAGTGGCTCGCGTCGAGATGGCCGTCGCTGCTACATCTGCGACGCTCCCGACCACCTCTCGTACGACTGCCCCGACCGAGACGAGTCTGACGATGACCGGGACGCCAACCGCAGAAAGGGAGATGGTGGCCGTCGTCGTCGAGACAACCAGCCGCGCAAGGAGAAGTGGCCGTCGAAGACGTCTTCGACGAAAGATGCAGACTCCTCTGGCAGCAACGCTCGTGGCGAGGAGGCTTTGTGCTCGATGGTCAGCGTGGTAGAGCCGACGATCTCGCTGGCACTGGAGGGTGGCGAAGACTCCAAGGCGGTCGCTGCTGCTGTGCAAGCCAATCCCACCGTTGTGCTCCTCGACATCGGCTGCTCCCACCATTTGATGGGGACGAAGGAGGCCTTCGTCGACATGCAGCCGAGCGGAGATGTTCGCCATGTTCGCGGCTTCAACGGGGCACTTCAGAGCGTCGAAGGCAGAGGCATCGTTGCTCTGCAAGGGGAGGCCGGGAAGCAGGTCCT